ACATCGATTTTTTTAATACATCAACAGTTCTCTTGATTTTGGACATTGGCCTCTAAATTTTGAACCTCAATATTTCGAGAATTATAGTACCAACAATCACCATTCTTGGACCAAATATTAGGTGCTATTACTTACTATCATATAATGTGACTAAATATTGAAAAAACCTGAGCTAAAACTTTTAAACGTATACAACATTGTATTTGCGATAACAATTTACCATTATCATTACCAGTACCAAAATGGTATAACTTTTCTTGTAGCATCTTGAAGTATCTGAAATTCCATTATATTATAACATATCCGGAATAAAAATGGAAATGAAGTTTGAAGTTAGTTTTTTCGAGAATTGGCCATCGGATTTTGTTCAAATTTTCAGAATAACCAGAGCACACGTTTGAGTTCATAAATTATAAAAAGCAAAACAATAACTCTAATAGTTTCAAAAATAATCAAATTGTATCAACATGAGGTTTTGAAAATTTGTGCGAATAGCATATTTGGAATAGTAATGGATGAGCTTTGAACTAGTATTACTAGAGATTTACTGTACAGAATTGTAAGAAATTTTCATCATATGTTCTTGAGAGTAGGAAAATATTGAATATGAAAAATCAGAGTGTAATTGTTGCTAGAATTTACTTTATATGAGTTTAAATAGAGTCGAGTTTTCAAAATTTTTGCTTCTATGGGTCAAATCAATGGCGAGATTTGGATAGACGCTAGAGGGCGCTAGTGAAAACTGTCCAAAAAATTAGTTAATTGTCGTTAATTAAGCAGAAATAAGGAATTTGGTAAGAAATTTGAATGCAAAATACTTACCGTTGGAAGATGAAGTGAAAAAAAGTTAGATTCTGCTAATAGGTTGCTAGATAAGCTCAGAATTGTTCATTGAATTAATTATGCGAAATTAAAATAAATTGTCATAATTAAAGTGATTAGTGTTAACTGTGAGGAGTCAAATGGCTTGATACATTTGCTATTGTCAATATCTTGGATTATGAAAAAAATTGAGTGTCTGGGATGAGTACTTATCGACTTATTTGTAACTGAAATTCATTTCCATTTTCATTCCGGATATGTTAGTCTGTAATAGCACCTAATATTTGGTCCAAGAATGGTGATTGTTGGTACTATAATTCTCGAAATATTGATGTTCAAAATTTTGAGGCCAATGTCCAAAATCAAGAGAACTGTTGATGTATTAAAAAAAGTGATCGACTTTTGATGTGTGCCCATGATTTTTATCGACGAATGATAAGTTTCAGCTCTCTATCACATTCGGTCACAGAATAAAGAAGGTTTAAAAACATCTGAAAATCTAAAGGCTGGAAATCGAATAATCGAAGTTTTAGAGAAAAAGAAAACGTTATTTCGCAAATTAAGTGCACCTTCTGTTAGATCATCAAAATTTACATCAGGGAAATGAGTTTCACAATATTATCTTTATCCATAATTGAACAAAACGCGATCGAAGTTTGAACTTTGAACGCGATTTTCTCGAGAACTATTAGCCAAAGAAACTTTTCAAAAGCACTAATAGACTCAGCTTTTAAGTTCCTGTAAATCGATTGAGTTTAAATTTGAAAGAAATTAATTTATAGCCTCTTTTTGTCCCTTTGTGTCAATTTATTAATGAATGTGACAACTAAAGTGTTTATTGTGTCTTTTTAGCAACAAACCAGTGTAAAATAACTTCAAATCATTGAAATGAACTCATTTTTCATGTTTATATGCAGATAACTTGGTTAACGATCCTTTGGTAACATCTAAAATATATCACCCACTACCAATTAGTCCTGAAATCTTGCGAACTTCGTTTTTCGTTGTGAATAGCCGCTGTGATAATCAATATTTCCCTTTACTTTGAGAGACAATTTTACGTCAACCCGAGCTAAAGCCAAACAAAGTAATAGTCGCTATAAAAGCCAATTGCCACTATTAGATTAGCGTTTATAATTAAGCGGGGAACAAGGCTATCGACTAATTAGTTAGATGGATCTTTATGGTCACTCGAACTGTTTAATATGTAAGGAAACCAAATCATTGGTGATGGCATAATTCCTGATCAGTCCAGAATCTTACCTACTTGGAAAATCGGTATTAATGGTCCTGTCTGTCTATGAAGCTAATAGTATTTACGATCATACTTATGATAGCGATGAAGAACGAAGTGTTTGTCTTTGAGTGTTCGCTTATTCAACATCGTACTTTAGGGATGTAATATTATATATTATATGTTATCTTGTCATCAACAGAGAAGAAGAAGAAGCTCTCTTGGCCGACATTTATTCATCTATTCTCAAGACCACAACCTTAATCGACGAAAGTGACAAATAGTTGGCCTCAAAACTTTGAACATAAATATTTTGATAACAGTAGCACCAATAACCATCATTCTACGACCAAACATTAGCTTTTATCATCGACTTTAATATAATATCACTAAATATTGTAAAAATCTGAGCTAATTCATGCAATACTGAATATCTTTTTAACTGTTGGTGCATTGAAAAAAGTAATCAATCCTTAAGTCAAGTTAAACTTGCGAATCCATTCAACATTTTGATTGCATGAAAATAGTTTTATTTTGTATTGAATAATATTCACACGCAGTGAGTCATCTTAAGATCATTTGCATCGATGCTTTCACATTTATTCACAATTACCGATTTGCTCAAAAGTTTATTTAAGAGAAAATAATTTTCCCATAGTTTGGGTTCTTCAAGCAGCTGCTTTTTTATTCTATGGAATTGCGTTTCGACGGAATTTAGCTTTTTGCGATGCTGTGAATTCTAATTTCCTTACTTACTAAATTTACTAAATATAAAGACTTCTGCTACCTTGAAAGCTTGACACAGGTAGTCCTTGCATAATGAAATTCATGATTACTCACATGAAGCTTCTCGCTTCAAGTTTCCCTTATTAGTCGTATATTATGTCATTACAAATGAATAAAAAGCCCCCACAACTGTTGGTATAAGGTACAAAAAACAATTATGATGACTTCACGTCTCATTGGTTTGATGCTTGTAAATTCATTATTAAAGTCTTTGGTATTTTATTTATAATGTAGGTACAAGCACAGATAGATCGAGAATTGATCTGTTTATTCGTACATACAATCGTAATTTAGGTCTATCGATTACTCAGACTTAAGTTAGTTAAGATCTAAGTTAGTTTAATACAATTGTAAAAGTTGACCATAAGAGTGCTTTGGAGTCCAAGAAATGATTGAAACAAAATTTTGCAGGTTAATAAAAAGTAACTTTAATTTCGCATTTCACTTTGTCTGAATAAGATCCTTAATACTTTACATTAATTGAGTATTATTTAAATCGGATTGGACAAATTATAAGGATTTACATTGCAAGAATTTACTCTGAGATACAAACTTCTCGATTAAAATTGTTGGTTGGATGCAGGATTGATCAAGAGCTTGAAATTCAATTTGTTTTGCATTGATGATAGTTTTATAGTTTAACTTATTTTTTATGTTGATAATTAGTTATAATAATTATGAGTATGATTTAAAAAATAATTGATAAAGTAAATTGCATTTAATTTCAACAAAATGGGTTTTAAGATTCTGACCAATTTTGTGTAAAATAATAACAAATATTACTTAATAGTAGATGGCTGATTGTGATTCAAGAAATATGAGTAAATGATAAAATTAAATTTTCTCAATTTGCTCATTTCTTCACATCGTAGTAGACAGTTTCTTATTTTCATTTTTAACTTAGACTATTAAATTGTTTGAATAACCTTGATTACTCCCACATGGATTACAGGATGAATATAACTTTCAGGTAACTATTGTGCCGTAACTGTGAGCTTTGTAACCTTTTTTTGTTAATTTTTTGATACAAAACAAGTGATTTTTGGCCCTAAATTCTTTTAATAAAAGTATCAACAAATCTCTGCCTAAAGATTAGGCGGGTGAATATGAGGATGAGAGGCAAAGGGGTAGGGAAGAGAAAAATGATCAAGAGAGAAATGCTCGTGTAAATTAAGATGAGCGAGATTGTTTGAGGAGAAAGTAAAGTTACAAACAGGTTTCGATTTTTATATTGGATTTGAATTTGGTTGCGCTGAAATAAAATGAAATGGACTTTAACCACAGGATGGGTAATTCAATTGGATTGATTGAAGGTAAGCGAGGAAGATATTACTCTCCACAATCAACACAAAAGGAATTGATCGGAAAAGGTGAGAGGTAAGCAAAATGATAGAGGAGGGGAAAACAATCATTAATATTGTGTGACTGAGAATAGTCTTGAGATAAATAAAACATCTCTCATGATTTTATAATGTACTGTTATATTTCAATTTTAAATCATTTCTTTTTAGCTGGTCCTCGAGGAGGTGTCACTGGTCTACCCGTAGTTAATCCGCCATATTGATACTTTGCTTTTTTTTCCGAAGGTTTCAAAATCTTTAATTTTTTGCCAGGTGAAAACGATATTGAAATCCAAAGAAATAAAAAAAATAAATAAAATAAAATAAAATAGGTAAGTTGACGTTTTTCAATGAGATGAATTTCAATGAGAATATATTATTTTAATAAACGTACCTGAAAAGAGCACATAAGTGTTTCATCGACTGACATCATTCCCCCAGCGTTATCAAACTCACCACAATAGTTAGGAGCAGAAAACAAAGTTACAAGTTGTCGCTTCGCGAAAAATTCGTAACCGTCTTCTACTACTTGATGAGCACGGCATATCAAGTCTAAGTCATGTCTATTCAAAAATTTGCTAACAACATCAGCTCCAAATGTAAATGAAACTCCTCTATCATTTTCACCCCATCCGGAAACATCTTTGTCTGGATCAGACCATAGAAGATCACATAACAACCCAGTATCAGGTACATCGGTTGGTCTCATAATTCGCCTTATTTGCTCCATTGATTGTAAGTCAGGGGATAACCCTATTCAAGTTTTAATAAAATAAAAAAAAAAGAGTAAAGCATTCAAGTTTATCAATCAATACAAAGATTTTCTTATTTTTTATCTGCCTTTCACATGAGTATAGAATTGCTAGCTATACTTTCTATTCTTCAACAGCTCAAGTCAACCAGATATAATGGAAAAGTTGATTTAGTAAAAGACGTTAAAATTTACTCACCTCCATGACAACAGAATATTTTCTCGTCAATGATGGCGGCAATAGGTAAACAGTTGAAACAATCAGTGAATGTTTTCCATAATTTTATATTGTACCGTCTCTTGCCTGTAAATCAAGAAAGTGGAAGAAGAGAAAACAGAGGAAAAAAAGCAATTAGTAAGCATCTTTACAAACACAAAGGCAAAAGCATAAAGGAAAGGGATTTCTAGGTTCTCCCTCGATGTATACTATCGTTAAAGATTGATAAATACATTAGTAATCACTGATCATCAAGCACTAAAATGGAGCGAGTAATTGATGGAAAAAATCGAATTTATCTTCATCATCTTCTAAATGATCGAACTTCATCGATTAATAGAAACTGAAAAACAAAGGAATAAAACTAAAGAGTAAAAGGTTTCCATCTCTGGTTTGAATAATGATTCGCTGTGATACATTGAATGAAACAGCGTATGTATATACACTTGACACTGGAACCACATTTACAAAATGTATTACCCATGCTTTTGATACACTCCCTCACAAATGACATTTACGTTCGTCAGAAAATATTCCAGACCCATATACAGTAAAGTAATTCAATATGTTACAAAGTATCATGACTTACATTCATCATAAAATCCATAGATTCGATTGATACTAGCACATTCATGATTACCACGAAGAAGGAAAAAATTTTCCGGATACTTTATTTTGTAAGCTAAGAGGAGACAAATGGTTTCCAACGATTGTTTGCCTCTGTCAACATAGTCCCCCAAAAATAAGTAATTTGCCTCTGGCGGAAAACCTCCGTATTCGAATAATCGCAGAAGGTCGGTGTACTGGCCGTGAATATCTCCTGGAAGCGAAAAAAAGTAAGGGAATTAGAATTAATTTTTTATCGGTGAGTAACGAGACAACAACGCATTTACGAAACCGGATTGCTAGCTATATTAATGATGGTGATGCTACTTTTACTGCTTCTTTCAAATACTCTTAATGTTGTGTCCAAGGATTGAAAGGTATAATTTGAGAGAGTGTATAATAAAGAAATACAAGAAAAGAAAGCGGGAGAACGTGGGAGAGACTCACACAGACAGGGTTAGGGGTCAAACGAGAACTCCTTTAGTTAATTGAGTAATAATAAGATACGCTTAAGGGTAAATGTACATGTAAGCATGAAAAGATAGACATGAGGAAGATGCAATGAGAAATGATGGAGATACTGCCTTGTTGAGAATACAGAAATTCAGGGTAAAAGTATAGAGGATGGTTAAAATGCATGAAAAGGATAAAGTGTGAAGTGATTTATTAAAAACTAGGCTAAATAAATAGACGTTGATGACGGAAGGAAGAAGAGTTTATCATAAACTGACAAAACAAATTGACCAATAAAACTTACCACATATTTTAAGTGGGGCTTCCAATTCCAATAAAATAGGTTGACTCAGGAATATTTCTCTCGATTTGAGACACAAACCTCGTACCTCAGCTTCTGCAAGTTGAACAGTTTTACCTGGTCTACAACCTCTCACTGAAGGTTAAATTTAAAACCAACGGTAAAGGGTAAGCCATGGTGATAGTTGGATAAAAAAATAAATACCAGTTAATACAATAATGATTAATTAGATGAAATAGCCAGAGAGATCAATAGAAAGAGAGGGAGAGTAAAAAAAGAGAGAAAGATGTAAAGAAAAAGAAGGAAGAGGGAAAAAAATTGAGTCATGTAACCCAAAAGAAAAAAATGTCAAGAAATTACAGAAAAATGGACAGGTAACAGTTCATAACAGTTTGCTGGGTGGTGTGTTTAGCATCAATTACTTACCTTCTAATAAACGATGAATAATACTGTCAACATTTAACTCAGCCTCCGCCATAACAGATGAATAAAAATCCTCACTAATTCACCTCAACACCGTAAAACTAGCAATGATAGCAATGAAAATTCATCTCTGAAAATCATTTTCATTTTTACTCAACATCTAATCGATTCTTATTCGATTACTAAAGTTTTACAAAGTTAACAAAAGATGGCGTTCCAATTTTTCTGGTTACCAGCACCCAAAGCTGACCAAAAACCCACCGAAATAAATTGTTACCAGAAACGATTTAACAAGAAATTAAATTAACCAAATAATTGTAACAGTTTCAATTGAATTTTACGATAAAAAACAACTATTCAATCAAAGCTAGTCAAAACAAATGGTAATGTACTTTTATGAAAAACCATTTCTAAGTAAAAATGACTCTTAATTTGTTTTCTCTGTTAATATTTGACTTTCGGTAAATCATTCAATCAAATTGATCATTTTAGCTATTAAACATAATTGTTTAGCCCATTTTTAATGATAGATGTTTATGTGAATGAATAAACAATTTAATCATTCTTAAAAGTCTGTTGAAAAGATTAATCGAAATCGTTGTGAACAAATTCACCAAGATTTTCATTTATTTTTGGGTATTTTAACCCAAATTTGTTTAAAAATACACTCAACTCTTTTCCATCTCAAGGTAAAGTTATATTTATTGGAATGAAAAAAGGCATTTATTTATAAAATGGTGCTTAATGATAACAGATTTGTTAATTTGGTTCAAAGATTAGTTGAAATGTAAAATTAAAATCCATATTATAAAAGTGCATCAAGTGTAAAATTTGATATAAACTTGAAAAGTAGCAACAGAATGAAGTTGAAGCCTTTTATTGTTTAATGAGAAGCAAACAAAAACAAAAATGGCAACAAAATAGCTAGTCAAGTAAATCAATTCAGGAAATCCTGTTAATTACATCATTATGGGATAATATTTATAATGACAATCATGCCAGTGTTCAATCAATTTCAAGTGATTTATCATATTAATGATAGAAACAAGTATCAGTTGAAACAAAAGATTGCTTCTCAAGCTTAATCCACCAAGAAATGGTTTTCAATTGACAATGAAAACACACATTAATATTGAATTTATTGATCGTTTTTATATTAAAAAATTGATTTTTAGCGCAAAAGTGATCAACAAATGAATCAAATATAAGTCTCGAACCTTGGTTAGTTAATAAATTGTAAAGGTTGATTGTGCTTCCATCAATATCTTTGGTCTCTCCATTAACTTATCATTGATTTGATTTCCTTTCAAACCTCGTTCTACTTGAAATTAAACTCATCTAATACTAATTAGTCTCATTAGACTACATTGATCAACATTTACATTGCTTCAGGTAAACTGTTTAATTGACTGATAATAGATTCATCTTGTCAGTTATCATATTTTTCTCAATCAAGGTTTTACTACTTCTCAATAGTAACCATGACCAAAGAATCAATTAATTACTTTTGCTTTCATCACTAAACTACGATTAGCAATCAGAAATCGATTGATTTACAAGATTTATTCAACTCATTATCTGCCTTTGTTTTCACACAAATTACAATAACAATCAGCTTATGCCTTTAGCCCAAATAAATCAATAAACAATTGAGCCTATTATTTGCCAATGTTACCTTGTAAAGTATATTAACAATTAAATCGTTTTGGATTTGCTTTTAAAACATTGTTAGATGATAAGTGAGTCGTCATTATTTCATTTTACAATTATCGATTGAATTTCACTCTGAAAAAAGCTATTGTTTAAACGATTGATTCAGCAATGAAATGACAAGTTATTTGAAATTTAAAAATGCCAAACATCTTTTACCAGATTAGATATTGAAGTTCAATTCATTGAAACTAAATACAGAGTTTATTGCAAGGTTTCAAAGCAAACTCATTCAGTGAGTCAATTTATGTTCAATTACCTTCTATGGATTTCATAGATTGAATCATCTCAGTTTTTTTCGCCATACACTCAGAGATAGTTTTATGAGCTTGAACTAAAATCTAAGAGCAAAGACACTTGTGGTTAGTTAAACAGACAATACTGTAGTTTTTTCGTGCTTAACTCCACATTTAACGATCGTTAGATACATTCCTTGTATCAATACCTTTCATTTGGTTAAATCATTTAAGCCTAAATCAGTGGAGAAATATGATAAAACAATTTTGCTGAACTTTTAAAACAACAACCAAATTTGAATCGTGTTTGAAGCAGATTAAACTGGAAAATTGATGCTCCTCAAGACTTGATTAGTTTGATCAGATGTTTTGCTAGAGCACATTAAAGGGGAAAACCGTTATACAATGAATTCTCGTTCTTTTGATACAAATGAGTTGATTGTTGAGTATAAATACTGATTTTGAAAATAATAGATGGCGAAAGCGTTTAATAAAGCTATTAATAACTTTCATCAAGTAAAGCTTATAATTTGTAAATTGAAAGTTACTTTTATCAAGTGTGATTTCTCGACCAAAGATGGCAGTGCAGTTTAATTAAAAAACGTCAGTCAATAAGTAAAATTGAACTTCAATTTGTGTAAACTAATAAAGTTTAAATAGCCAACAGAGTGTAAGAAGGATAAACATCGTTGCTATTTCTTTATTGTCTGTGACAATTGTCTCCAGGTAAGTTAATAATGTACTCTTATAAAAAGACAATTAAAATTGTCAAAAAAAACGATATTGTGAACTAAAAACTTGATTATTTCAATTCTCAGCTGGCAACTGAGTCTCCCAGTAGTTTTAAATAGCTCATCTTGTTAACTGTTTAAAGTAAACCAAACCGCCTTAAACAACTAAAATCGCCAATTCTGCCCAATTTATTAATAGATTTCCCATTCTTGACAAGTTTGTTAATTTATGTTCATTAATGATCTAGATGAAGATCAACAGTTTTGAATGGCCGATCACAACATTTCAATACAACAACTTCTCCGATATTGTCTCAGTGGGACTTTCAGATCGTAATAAAAGAAACTCAATTTCTTGCATTTTAATTAGAGTATCCTCATGAAGATAGTTAATTTAAAACACAAAATCCTCACCAAAGACCATGTATTTATTGACAAATAACAGGGAATGAGTTAAATTCACTGCAAAAATAATATCGATTTGTTTTTGGATGCATTTATCCTTGCTTTACTTGAATTTTGATTCTTCAAGGTTTTCATTAATGATTAACTTGGTTTCTTGTTTCAGAATGATATAAATGAAAGTTATCAATTATTATTAGTTATGTAGAAACGACAATTAATGTTAACAAATTAGAAATCAATCAATCAGCTGTATTTGAAATGAAGCTTCAATTACAAGATTCCTGCAGGTAGCCATGAAGTTAACAGTAAAGCTTCTTTAAGATGTTGACCTAATTATCTTGAAAGTGATCCTAAAACAGTGTAATATAACAAACAAAAATTAATGTTGAGGGTTTTTTTCCTACATAATGTTGATTCAATACCGTCATTTGAAGATGCCTCATCTGTTGACAGGCTAACGAATGTAAAATGGAATCAAATAGACTGGCCTAAGATGGAGACATCAGATAATGAGGATCCTGAAGAGGCTGATGTTCATTAAAAATGAAAACTAAAGTGTGCTTACGTGCAGATTTACCTTTTTACCTGAAGCAACGTTTCACTTTCACTGTTAAACCTTTTGAAACATTTTTGGGTAAAAAAGTGTTTTCACTTTTTTTGTTCATTTATAAACAAAACTTGAAGCTGCTTAACAACAACAGAAGAGAGGCTTCAATAATCAAGTTCAAGTTCAAGTCAACAAGCTATTCATTGAAAACAGATTGATCACAATTAATGATGAAAAATGAATTTTAAACGTTTTTCTCATTAAGCTTTATTAACAGAAAAGAGTTGAATGTAAATAACAGTGAAAAAATTGAGATATACAAAGAAATGGTAGAAAAAATTGATCTATTTTACATCATTATATAATAATAAGGATAAAATTTGATTTACAAATAAGTTCACTTTGGCAACAGTTTGTCATGAGTCTGGGTCCATGTTAATTTAATTTGTCATTCAAGATTCAACTTGGAGAGCTTTTTCAACGGCAGCTTTCCTCTTTTCAATGATTGATCTTGAAACCCTTTTTAAATCGTAAGCCAACCCAAAATAGGCTGCAGTATCGATAAACACTTTGGTAATGTTGAGTGAAAAGCCAAGTTCACTTGTCGCATAATCATATGGAAAGGTGTGATGATAATTGTGATAACCTTCACCATGAGCACCATAAGAGACAAACAAATTTTCACATGGACCAATCTTGTGGTTGTAAGGTCGGTTACCAAACATATGGGCTGTACTATTGACGAACCAAGTACAGTGAAGACTTGTTACATAGCGAGAGATGACGTTGATCAAAAATGAACCAGAAAGGGTTTCATTCCAAAGGAAAACAGGAACCAACCATGGAATCAGCATTCCCCAGACAAGTAACAACCAATAGTAATATCTGGTAAATAAAGAATAGTTCAAGTTATTCTGTTCAATATGATTAGTTAAAGAGGGAAAAGTGTTTTCATGAAACTGTCGTGTGAAATGGGATTTGGAACAGAATTTAAAATTTCAAGATTCCAGATTTGATTAGTAAAAGTTATGAATGTTTCATCTGTTAGATGGAGAAAAACTTGAAATTTAATGATCCAGGGAAATCTGTCATTCTTACCTGACTTGAAACCTAACAACAGGATCTTTCATTAGATCTGAACAGTCCAGTGTTTTGCCTTTTTTAAGCACATCTGGATGCTTCTTGAATAATAACCAGCCCATGTGAGCGAAGAAGAAACCTCGATGGGAATTGTGAGGATCGGCATCGGTTTCAGAAAATTTATGGTGAACTCGATGATCTCTGGACCAAACATAGAGGTTATTCTGGAGAAAAGAATTGAAACAATTAATTCAATTGTTTTGTTTACCTTGAACATTTGCATTGAAATTGAAGATTGCCAATCAAAATGGATTGTATTTATTAAATGGTAATTTTCATGATACAAAAGGTCACCTGAAACAGTCTGTATCTTCCTTTTGGGAAATTTACAAATAAAGTGTTGATTGGAGTTGATTATAATTATCATTGAAATAAATCAACTAAGATTGAACGTGAATATTGAACCTGATTTGTGCAACTGATGGGCAACCAAAGCGTAGGTTTGTTCATCAGTCAATTGTTATAACTCTTATTTACTAACAACTGAATCAACAGACAATTCAGTCTATTTTATCATTTCCTAATCAAATTTGACTGTTGTTTGATAACAATAAAACAAAAAGCTGAGATTTCAATGTTTAAAAATTGAAAACATTTTCTTTCCATTTTCAATAAACACTAAATTTTCAATCTAAAGGTCACTTTGAATGATGTTCAGATCATTTGAAAACAATATAATGAGATGAAAAATGTGAATATTATTTCGTGACAATCTTAATTAACCCGTTTCTGTTTAATGATGAGACAATCTTGACATTAAAACATTAACTGACCTTATCCACCTTAAATTGTGACCAAAAGTATAACCAATTGAATCAAATTGAATTAGACAAAGAAGACAGATTTTAAATTGCAAAAATTAAACTCAATAGCAATGAATGACATGAACAACAAAACTGTAAACTAAAGCGATCATTAAACTGACATTAAATTGTAAAGTCTACGTGATTTATGAACAAATTATCATTGAAACAATCAAAAGTGACCATAAAATGAGTCTTTGATCATCACACAGCCTTTCAATAACAAACAATTAATAAACATCAACATGATTAAACAATGGCATTACAATGATCAATAAAAGAGCCATAAAATGGCAAATAAAATAACAAATTAAGAATCAACTTCCATTGTTGGTAAACTGTTAAGCAAATTGATGAATCCTAATCAGCATGATGTTCAACCGCATTAACTATGGAATTGAAAATGAATTTGATGAAATTCAATTAACCAATCAAGGTTGAAATAGTGCAAAAATGAAGTTAAAAAGTAAAGGAAAGGTCATAAGGAAATACTGGTCAGTAAGTGTTTAAGGATCACTTACAAGTTTCTTGTTGAGCAATCAAAATAGGGAAAATTGGTTTAAAGATCAAGATTGTAACGTAAATTGTTGATTAACTTATTTAGTTTTACTTTTTCCGTTCCAAATCAGCATTTTATTAAAATTTAAAATTACTTTTAAAGTGTTACTTTTTTGGCTGCCGTTCAAAACCGATATAAAATAATAATAGCTTTTTGCCTGGTTTGGGTTTATCAATTGAAGATGATTTGTTTTGTTTTTTCTGGTCTTTGGATTAATGGTTATTTAAACCAAAATTATTCAAGTTAATTTCAATTAAAATTGCATTACAATCATTGAGCAACACTTATTAAAATACAATGATTGATGTGTGAAGATTTAAGGCTAAGAATAAAATATTAAACAGATTCAACGATTAAATTGTTGTGCGGTAACAATGACCAAAAAAGTATGTTACCATTTTGACTGTAAAGTGGCCACATTTGTGATTTAATTATTGTGGACAGTTGATTGTTTAGCTTTGGTTAGATGTTAAACTATGATAAATGGTAGAAGAGTAAAGCTTTGAAAGTTGTGACTATTGGACATGTTAACGTAATTAACTTTGAACATAATGTGTTTACTAATTGAGATTGAAATAGTTGCGAAATGAAGAGACAACAATTACCTGACCAGCAATGGTTTGACCAATCATGAGAAAGATCCTCAATGGAAGTCGAGCTTTATAAGATCGATGTGACCAAAGACGATGTGCTCCAGCAGTTATACCAAAGCCTCCCCAAGTGCCCCAAAACCATGCTGTTTAGATGACAAGAGTTAAACGATTTAGAATCAACGTTAAATGTCACTTTTGGTCAACAGTCTGTTGTTGACCTAATTGGGACACAACAAATCATGTTGAGGTTTTTTTCCAGACAATATTAGTCTTGATATCAATTCAGTTTCAATCAATCTTTCATTCTGTTGAAACAACATCTAAGTTGGGTGAAATATTTCAAGTTCTGGTCTAAGTTGAGTCTTTTGGGTTATCTTTAAAAGATTGCCTTTCCTTAACCTGAAGCTGTTTTACTTTCACCAAACCTCTTTTTAATTCATCATTTTTTGGCTTCTTTCATTTCACAGCTAAATGATTGAGTTAAGGATTCAGTAATCGTAATCAAGTTCAAGTTCGAAGTGTTTAAACAAGGAAAGAAAAGATTCTAATTTCAATTGTTGATGCGAACATTGTTAACTAAATTGGAAATACAAATATTTAAAAGTAAATTGATTTACACCCAACAAGGCAAACATTTGCATTTGTTTTCATTTCTTTTTTTTATGGTCAAACACAATCAAAATTTGTCAAATCACAGTTATTGATGCAAATAAGCATATTTTGTTGACTCATTCAACGGTTTCCGCTGCTCAAATTGTTGACCAAATCAGTATTGTCAGGTCAGTTAACACACTGATCTTAATTACTGTTTGGCAAGACATTTCCGAAAAAACAATTCAATTGTGATTTACTTGACAAATTTTTAATGGTAAACGGGATTCACACTTAGTTAGTTTTTCGCAATTAAACTGTGTTAAACAATTAGATTAGTAGATCAATTATATACTTACAAAATATCCAACTTGGATATGGTTTAATCTTGATTAAGTAATAAATCCCATAAATGTGGACAGCGTGAAGTATTATAAAGAAGATAACATTAGTCCAAACTATTGACCAATTTGAATTGTCGATGTAAATAAAAGATTGATCTGTTTTGGGTTTCACTGAATCCATTGGTTTGTGGACTTCATCTTCAGGAACTAAATCGTCTTTCATTTCTTCCTCTTCTTCAACATCTTCAACAATTGGCACTTGATTGGGATGAGACAATGGATAATGAATTAGCGTCTCATGGTGATCACTGGATTTACTTAAAAGACTGGGATTCGATGAGAATGGAGGCATTTTTATTGATTAAATTGACTAATTTAGTTAATCAATGATTACTGTCGTAAATTCAATTTGATGAAAACAGATTAAATAAAAGTTGTGTTGAGAGTTGATTTTAACCACAAGTTTAAGGGATTCTGACTGAGCCAGAGATTGTTGTTAACTAAATTGTTTCTAACTAAACTAAAATGTAATGTTTACGGCGATTCAATTGTGGGAGGTAACTCAATGAAAGGTAAATGCGAAAGTAAAATTGGGAAAGAAAAGGAAAGAAGAGAAAGAGAAGTGAAACGCGGGAAAACAAACGCATTTTAAGGTTTGACGTAACCTGATGTAGGTTGAATCAAGTTGATCCTTAAATAAAATAAGAGGAAACAAATTGCTGATTGTAATATTTTGCTGCTTAAGTCAATCAATTGAAGTACAATTTCATGGTTTATATGAGCAAGACAGCAACTTAAATATGGACTTAAATTTAGTCATAAATTTGGCGATGGTTAACATTGTACTAATTAGTGATGAATCAATGTTTCAAGTAAAAGTAAAAGTGTTATCGTTAATTCATTTGGAAATGATCGTCTCTAATCAATGTTCAGATGGTCAATCACTGTGAAGGTTTAGTGTCCATTTATACTTTCATTGGGTATTTGGTTTGATGGGACAAAATTAGTATTTATAATTCAAGGCAAGATACAAGGGAAGTTGATTGCATGGTTATGAGAATCAATTACGCATAAAGTAAATCTATTTTTTAAATTTGATGGCAAATTGTTGGTTAATTAAAAAAGGCATTTTCGTTTTGTTTTGTTTCAAGTTTTTATTTTAAAATTATAAGAGATAAAATTTATCAGATCAAGGTTAAAACGAGCAGCATAAATTGAGTAAAATAATAGTAAGAAAAGGTCACAAGGAAATATTGATACACTGAATAAGGATCAGTTACTGACTTTTCATGGAGGAACATGAAGAAGAATGAGAAAAGAGGAAATTTAGAGTTTAAAGATTATCACTTTGCTTGATTATTCATTTATTTAGATGGTTAACTTCGTTTTTTTCCGTTAAAAAACCAGACTTGGTGAACCATTTTTATTACAATCTTTCAATCGGTACGGTATGATTTTCACGTAGACAGTTTGAAAAGTCGCAATGTACCTTCGGACAGTACAATCAAGCTAAAATTATTGGTTTGGAAGTTTATAACATGATGTCCGGCACTCGATTCATAAGGTTTCCTTGATACCTGGTTCTGTTGATGACGCAATCTATTCTCATCTTTTCGTTTCATCTTCTATCACAATGGGTGATGAAATAACCTTGAACACGCTTGTCTTATCGTATTATTGTCTCAATGCTCAACAGGATGATTTGACTTCGTTGATATGTAACGCTAATTGTAAACTTAAACTTTTCTCAGTCCATAAATCGCTCTCGTTGATTTTAGATTGAATAATGCGAAACGCTGAAAGAGTGAATAATTTGAGAATTAAGCAGCTTCAGGTGGCCCGTAGAGGAGTTGCTAGATTTTTAATCTTAAGTGAATGCATGAAATATTCCAAGTTTTTTTGTTGAAAAAGTATTTCTTTTATTAATTGTGATGATGAAAGTAAGTTGCACATTTTCATTCGATACCAAAAGTAGAAGATTCTTCAACTGCAAGTAATAATTTATCATAAAGCATCTCAAATGAAGTATAAGGCGGTAGATCCAATCTATTAAAACAAGTGTGAGCTCTAAATAGGCAGAAAAAACAAAGAAACCAGTTAATTTTGTGATTAAAAGCGTAAAAAGCTTTTTAGAATCAAAAAGATATCCAGATAAGGAAAAAATAATTTCTGAAATATATTGAAATAACTTTCGAAGGAAACAATCGATTGAATCCCCTTCTTAATCCCTTCTAAATTAAGCTAAAAAAATTTACAATATGGATAAACCTTGAAATAAATTTACCTGGGTAAACTTGTTGGCAATCCCCATTTTTCAATACAGAACTTTCTTGGTCCATTGCTTCCTCTAAGGGCAGCGAAGCCATCGTAAGGTATACTTGATGTTCCAGTAACAAATTGTAAAAGTCTAAGTCGTCTCTCATTATCAAATTTTTTCTCAATTGCTTTCCAAAACCATTGAATAACAGGATGTTGATCATGATAACCAGAGCGGTACTCTGTATTTTTTCGCCAGTCAGAAACATCAATTTCAGCAGTCCCTGAATTATGAAAATGCATTAATAGTATAATAATATAAGTTATCAAAGTCTTTGTAACAAAGCAAGTAGAAAAGCTACAAATAAAACAAAAACAACTAAATCTAAGCCACTCAATTAAAAGTTCCAAATAAAGGGTTTATAAAAGATCAACTTTAAAAATATAAAAGTAAATCAGTTGTCTTTTGTGTGTTAATAAATTAACTTAAACTTACCAGCTATAACCAACTCAAGTTCCCTTGCATCAAAAACTGAAACAAGTCTGGCATCAATGACTTCGTAAAAACCTTTAACCAAAGATTCAGTTTGTTCTGAAACGCCACGATCAAGTCTCCATTTAACCATTCTATCAATGTATTCTTTTTTATTTTTTTCATTAACAGAAATCTTTTTTCCACTCGGCTTAAGATCTTTTTCAACAACCTGTCCAGCGACCTCTTCGATAACTGAAAAGGTTAAATCTAATTCCAAATCACTTATGTCATTTTCTTTCAGCCATCTTAATGATTGATGAAATTCGGCATCCAGATATTCGAGATCAGATAACGAACAAGGCAAGCGAAGAAGGGCCTTATAAAATGGACGTGTAAAAAAGGCATCCAAAAGGTATTGATGAACCAAAGTCAAGCCCAGAACTCGCCCACTGAATCTAAACCATTCGTGTGCATTATCAACAAAAGCTGACATGGGACTAACTTGAACGGTGTATGTGTCATTAGCTGAATACTCAAAAAGGCCATAATATGGATTAAACAATTCTCGTGAAAGAAGGAAAAAGAACTCCCTTGAAGGTCCTCCATAATCAAGACCTTCTTCACCAGCAAAACTAATATAGAGACGTGACTTTTGTAAATCTTTCTTAGAATTGGCTGACATTATTTTTGTAAAAGCATCTTCTAACAAATGATCTCGTCTTATATTAAGTTTAAATTTATTTGGACCTTGACCATAACCTTTTTGCTCTAGTTTACGATAAAAATTGCGCAGTTTAGCTTCAAAATCACGTCTATAAGGAGAACAGCCTGTAATAGGTGGTATTCGAACAGCCGATGCTCTAGAAAGTCCAGATGATGATTGAGGAGATCCGTGTGAGTGGCTTGAAGCAATACTTGAAGAGGAAACTGAGGCTGGAGTCGAAGTTGAAGGCTGGTTTGAAGTATTGTTCGAAGAAGGTGGAGATCTTGCTGAGATTGCATTCTGAATTGGTATATAAGACATGATTTCTTGTTCGAAAAGACTTAATAAAATGGTCATCTCAATATCGTTACTATATCTATCTAATGCTGATGTTCCTTCGTTTTTAACTGCAATCACTTTATCACGTAATGAAGACATGGAATTGATATTAGGTCTACGTTCCTTTAAGATTTCCATGATATTGGGTTGCCTTAAAAATGCAACTACTTTCTCATTGTAGGCAACAGGAACTTGAACAGGAGTAGCATTAGAAGTTGCTGTGGCACTAGATGCTGTTGATGAGCTAGATGAGACATTATTTGGATAAGATGGTCGAGGTGGAGGAACAGGACTGTTTTGATGAGCGTTATTATTCGCAGTATTTGCATCAGAAGAAGTGGATGGTGGTTGTGGCTGCTGATGATGGTACAACAATTGTTGAGGTGGTGGTCCACGATTTGGACGACGACTTGGTGCTATGACTAATATGTGAGGATTTACAGGAGGAACTTCAGTGGGTAACCGGGGATCAATAAATGTTGTTGTTTTAGTTGTATGATCAATGAAAAAACATTTATTGTTTCGGTCTAGTTTCTTTTCCCATCCTTGTGGTAGTTCACGGCCACTTTCAACAAACTTATTTATCAGCGAAACAAGATCTCTGTTGTGTTGATATTTTTGAAAAGCGGTATGACTTGGATCACGCCTAATTTTGGTAATCATGTGTTTAAGGGAAATACTTTTATTGTATTGAGCTAGTGCTTCATCATTAAGGTGTAATAAGTTGAAAAAATCTGATCGCATGAGGAACTTAAGAGCTGGAAACATATGGGTGGAATCATTAGAATTTGAGGTTTCCGAAGGTGATGATGATGATGCTTGTCCAGTGGATGGTGACATTAATACTGAGGATGCCGTAGATGAAGACGGTTCTGAGTTTGGGGCTGAGATTGCCGCTGCAGATACAAAAGGTGCGATTGGTGATACCTGAATTGATGAAGTACTAGCTGGTCGTGTTCCATAGGAAGATGATGAAGGAATAGGTGAGTCAGTTTCAGTAGCTCCTATCGATGTGGAAGATACTGTTGCGGGCTGTAATTCAGTAGTCAATGAGTCAGAGTTTGTCGATGAATTGTTGATAGAATGTGTTGTGCTATGGTAAGAGGGTCCTGTTGAGCTGGAGGATGGAGTTGAGGTTGGAGGAACACTCGCAGATGAAGATACAGGAGTTGAAGATGAAGATGCAGACCCTCGATGAGTAATTGTTCTTCTAATACTTTGATATCTTCTATCTAATTGTTGGCGAGATATTTCCATAGCTGTAGATGCAATATCACATTTTCGAGAAAGTTGAGGCACTTTATTTGGGACTTCAGAGCTTGGCCGGCTCCAAGTTGTTGTCCTACTAACATGGTCAACATAGAAAACTCTTCCATGAGAATCTATCCTTGCTTCCCAATTAGGAGGTAGAGGTTCATCTGTCTCAGCCTTTTGGAATTGATAGTTTCGCTCCGGAATTGAGGGCAATCGTGTTAAGGTTGCTGCTCCTGAACGAAACTCTCGTTTATTGGGTAAGGCAAAAGTACCGGCTGATGACATGGTTCGTCTGTGCAATGATTTAGATGGATTTTTCGAAGATGAACGAATATTTGATGACATTGTACTTGGTGGTCTTGAATTTTTAGTAGACGATTCAGAGTTATTTTGTACAGCAAATACCAATGGTGAAGATGAAGATGAAGGCTGAGTATCAGCAGTAAAACTAGATAAAGTAGATTGTAAGGGCAATAAGTCATTTACTGCAGGTGTAAAATGTGAAGATGTTGATGCATGGTCGTCTGAAGTATTTTGTTTGTCTAAATTAGAAGCTCGTGTAGAAGTTTCAGAAGTCTCGTTAATTTGAGATAAAAATGGATTACCAGAGCTCATTTCGGTTTGCTCGTTATCCACTATTGACGGGACGGCATCATTGGTACTACAGCTATCTTCTTCATCTTCCTCAACGTCTTCATCTTCTTCGTCGTCTTCGTCATCTTCTTCAACGTCATCTTCATCATCTTCTTCTTCTTCGTCGTCGTTGTCTTCGTCATCGTCATCATCGTCAGTATCGTCATCGTCTTCACCATCTTCAGAAACATTTGAGCAATTTTCACTCACATTGTCATCATTGTTGTTGTCCTCTTCATCACCATATCCATGATCGATGTCATTATCACTACCGTCAATATTTTCTTGTTGTAATTGATTTGATGTCGGTTCATTCACTTGAGCACTATTAAGAGCATGTTCTGTTGTCCAACTTAATGTAGATGAGCTTCCATCACTATCTTCATCATCTTGATAACTAATATCGATTGAGGAAAATTCAGGAATTAAAGAGGAACTTATACTTTCTGGTTCAGGTTGTTCAACTGAATCTCCTCCAGACAAATTCTCTTGTTTAAGTAAAGAACAAGAAGCTGATTCAGGCGACTGATGCTGTTGAAATGGATGGTGAAGCAGCTTCTGTTGATTTGATGATGATGATGATGGTTGTGATTGTGATTGTGATGGGGTTTGTTGTTTTTTGTTGTCAGCTTCAAAAGTAATAGCTTGAGATTTCTGATTTCCTTGATGGATATTTGCAGTACGATGGTCGTTTTGCTTTTCATTTAGATTTGGCTTAACGACACGTGAAATCCTAGACCTTAAAGGAGGCGTTGGTGGTGGGCTGCTACTATCAATTGTCATAGATGTTTTGCTAGGCGGTACTATTCCTGATGACTGGTCAGTAAGGGGTGAAAAATTTACAGAAGATAATGAGGAAAAAGAGTTGTTTTCAGAAGACCCTAATTGGACCTGGCTTCGTGAAGCTTCTTGATTATCACGGGGATGCTCAGATTGGCCTTGTTTAGTTGATTTCTGTTTTGGAGGCAAGGGTGGAGGGGTATCACGGTATTTATTGATATTTGAGTTTTGAAGCTGTTGTTGTCCTAATCCAGTTGACACTAGAAGACTAGATGAATAAGTTGGCGGAGATGAAGAACATGACGAGTTCATCAAATGAGCTGGATTTAACGAAGATCGATTAACAGAAGAATTTGAAGCTAATGATGAGGATGTTGGTATAGCATCAATAGCGGCACAAGTGAGACTAGAAGATCGATTTCGAGAAATTTGAGAAAGTTCATTTCGAATTACATCACTACGCACTAACTCATTGCCTGATCGACTACTTCGAGAAGAAGAGTCTTTAGATAATCGTTGACCAGCAGGAATATTACCACTTGGAATGTAAGGCAAAGAGGCACTTGAAAGTCCCCCAACGGAGGAGGAATTAGAATTGGCTGATGAAGTATATAATGAACGAATGGAATGAATCCGTGGATCTTTATCAAGTTCCAAACAAAAAGTGAAAGAAATACTGCCAATGTTGATATTGTTATCAGATGTGGAAGATGTTTTGTGAGTTAGCCAGAGAGTTGATTCAAATGGCATTCCCCCTGAGCCTGAAAAAAATCTCTCTAATAATTGTCCAACTTGAATACTAGCTCGTCCAAGTGAACGTGAGATTAATGGTCGAGATCGAGCAAATCGGTCCTTAACTTCAAAGAAAATTACGTCTGAAGGAATAGCAGCGAATGTATATCTACAATTCCAATTAGGATCAACAGTTCCTTCTGCATTATCAGTTCGACTAACTTGCAAGTAATGAGAGTAAGCGTGTACACTTTCATTTTCTCCGGGCTGTATTGAGATCTTTAAATAAGGATCTGGATTGAAAAACATACGTTTAGTTAAGTTGCGTGCATAGATGTCTGTTGTAAAAAGAGAAAAAAAACAGAGCATTAATTTTTGAAAATATTGCAAACAGTTAATTTAAATAGATATAACTAACTGGTTAGAGTAAATTTCAATAATTCATTGGTCTTCGGTTGTGTTGTGTATCCAAAGATCACATCAATAGGTACTCTCGTTGAAGAAGACATCAAACTGTTAGGAAAGAAAAGAGAAACGCATTTACTAGTTTGTTTTCCAATACATTAATAAAGAAACTCACAGCAACAATTATATAGTATCAAGTAAATAAACAAATATGCAATAAAAGAAACAGGGAAAAGATGGAAGCAGAATTCAGCTCACAATAACAGTGGATCAAATAATCACTCTTTGTTGATATTAATGATGTTTTTTCATTAAGGGGCGATGAACATTACTTTTGATGACTTCACTATAGAATGATCATGAAAATGATGCAAAGAAACGCCAAGCAGATCAGAGATTGTATGTTTGTTATAAAAAAAATGGGTAAAATTCAATAGTCGTAGAAAACGTATTGAAAAGCAAAATCGGTTTCATAACTTAAAAACCATTTTGACGCTATTTGCATTTATAACCATTAATTTTCAGTCTATGGTATTGTTTTATAAGCTTTATGGTGCACAGGATTAACGCGAACAGGCAGAATATCAAAGCAAAAACAAATGATCAGCTACTTGTGTTGATGGACGAAGATCATTTCCTTGAATCAAATTACCTAAGAAAAAGAAACAAGGTGAAATTAATTATAAAGTAATCTATTTCCTCATTAAAACACTTAGAATAGAAAATGAACACTTCAAAAAAAAAGAAACGGACAACAAAAAGCACAAGGACAAAGCGTTTTTCCTTCATTCTTTTCTTTCATGATTACATGGGAGTCGGGCCAAGAAATTAAATTTTGATAAAATTGTCTGAAGTGAAATTTTCTTTGATGCTATGAATTGTCCTAACGATAATTTAAATCGCATAATTTCCTGTCTAACTAAATCACAATTTTCATTAAGAATACTAATAAACTCGCAGTGAAACCATTCTTACTTCAAAATGAAAATCGTATCAACGTGATCAACGTAACAAAAAGGGCTAATATTACATAATGAAATAGGGCAGAATCAAAATACAATTCAGCAGAAGACTGAAAAAGATTAAAATAGTGAGGAAAAGACAATTGTATCACGAGATGGAAAGGAAACGAAAAAAGTATGCTTGAATAGGTATAGGAAGAAGACAGATTAATAATTATAATTACCTGTTATAATGTGCTTTTTTGAGAGTGATGATGGTTTCTCGTCTGTTTCGATGATTGAAGGTTGAAAGTGAAAGCAAATATTAATAAAAAAGATAAAAAGGACATGAGAAAGTGATATGGAGTGATAAATAGTGGAATAAAGATCAATGAGCTCACAGATAATTCGTTATGTTATGGCTGTTAAAAATTTATACTAGTTTCATCAATTTGATTTGATTGTATGCAAACTAACCAGAAACTTGATTTAAGTAACATAAGATGACATCAACAAGATTATAACTTTAGAATGGAGAAATAAAACATCCTGTTGTGCTAAAAGATCAATTTTTAGTCAATCAGACACATTAATCAAATGAAAAGATTGAACATGAGAATACATCCACTGATAGTAGAAACTGATAGAGCTAATATCCAACTTGATTCACATTAATCGATGGCACAATTTTAAACACATTTACTTTCAATAGTAAATAAATGCACATGTAAGCATGAGAAGTTAGACATTAGGAAGATGCAATGAGAAATGATGGAGATACTGGCTTGTTGTAAATGTAAAAATTCAGAGTAAAAATATAGAGATGGTTAACATGCATGAAAAGGATATAGTGTGAAGTGATTTATTAAAAACTAGGCTAAATAAATAGACGTTGATGACGGAAGGAAAGAGTTTATCATAAATTGAACAAACAAATTGACCAATAAAACTTACCACATATTTTTGAGTGGAGTTCCAATCTCAAATAAAATAGGTTGACTCAGGAATATTTCTTTCGGCTTTACTCAAACCTCGTATTTAAATCTCTGCAAATTGGACAGCTTTACGTAATCTAAAACCTTTCATTGAAGGTTAAATTTTGACCATTTATAGAAGGTTAATCATAGCCATGGAGATTATTAAAGGAACAATAATAAAACGAGAGTGAAAAATGCAAATGGGAAAGGAAACAAATTGAATCATACAACAAAAAGAAAAGAAAAATGTCAGTAAACACAGAGAAATGACCATTAACAGTTTAGTACGGTCAATTGAATGATAAAAATAGCTTCAGCCTTACCTTTAATTGTACTACATGTTAATAAATTGTTACCATTTAATTTGATTTCCGCCATAACAGATTAATAAAATTCTCACTAATTCGCGTCAACAGAGAAAAATAAAATAAAATAAATTTTTGCTCCACACATAATCGATTTGCATTCGATTATTAGGTTAAAGATGTTAACAAAAGATGGCGTTCTTTGCTTTTTATTTGAAACAATATTTTTTATGAAATAAATTTAAATCAGATTTTAAATAATAAATTTCATTAATGATTCAGAGATAAATAATCCAATCTTCAAGTTAGGTCTTCACTTTTAAATTATGAGAAAATTAACTTTTACTAAACGTCTTTCAAACAAAATAAATTTTGAATTATGAGTGATGAGAAATTGAAATTAAAAAAAGAAGGAATTGTAGATGAAAGTCATAATTTTATTTTGTGTTTTAAAAAATTAAAATTGAATTAAAAAAGATAAAATTTCATTAAAAATCAAATTTATTTTAAAAAAGAAAAGGTTTAAAAGAAAATTTGGTGAAGCCGTAAAATGGATCAAATGATGAGATCAGGAAACAAAATCCAAGATCCATTTTAATTTTTTTTTAATAATTAATTCAATAAAAACTTTCTACAATATAGTTGGGTCAGCTAATGTGTCCCAACTAACGAGCATGCTGTTCACCGCAATCCTTTTCGATTTCTGTTTGCAGAAATCAGGAACTGAAAAAAATAATAAAAGAACAAATTAGAATGCAATTTGCAATGTAAAAAAGTTATGCAAATATGTTGGATTCAAATTGTTTAAACCATAAGCAAAAAGCCATAAGAAAAAAACAGAAGGCATTGAATAGCAATTTAAACAAGTGATGGACTCAAAATATGATCAGTGATATCAATAAACTGTTTAAATCATTGAAATATTTGTTTTGATCTTTGTCATAGAAATACAGTTTACTCTCTGGAGAAATATTTCTTATCTATTTTGGTTAGTATATCTCACAGAAAGCACTTTGAAATTATCTATTATTTAAATCTAAATTCAAGTAATTCTAATCTAAGCAATGCTCAAGCTAGAGCGAAGAAGCGAACACTATTGGGCTAAAATTAAATCTATAAACAGACACAAATACGTAATTGGGTAACTTACTGCAAGGATGATCGGCAGTGAACAGCTCAACTTCATAGAGGTCAAAGGATGGATCATAATCGACCACTTTGGCTTTTAAGGCAGCAGATTTAATGGGGATGTTAGCGCCGAGAGATGTTTGCCAGATATGGAAACGAATCGCTTGTCCAATTTTGGGTCTACCGGGGGATCTAGAGGCACCTGTTTTGGCGACAGCGTCAATGGTTGCAGACAAATTATCACTGGCTTTAGATGGTTGTGTCGGTGGAAGCGGTCTTGATTGGGATTGTGTCGCGGCTTTCCCTTTTTTAGGACAAATTTTATTAAGACAATCGTGACCTTTGTACACAGCATTACCAGTTAAAGTTAATGGAAGTTTTGTCAACATAACAAATGGAGAATCTGGTCCGATGGCTTTGATGTGTTCCTTTCCATTCCAGTAAGATTTCACGACCTTTTTCTTTGGTTTAGATGCACTATCCATTGTCAATTTAACAAGTTAATTCAGTCAATTAGAAAAAAATAAAAGCAAGATTAATGAAAACTCAAGACAAAATCAAAAGCTCTTGCTGCTTCGTAAATTTAAATGTATCAACAAAAATGGTTTTTAAATATCGATACTCTCTAATCATATCGATACAGAACTTAAAAATACAATCAAACAATTCCGAGTCTTTGCTGAGAGAAACAATCATTTATTAAACAATTTTAAATTTACTAAACGATTAATCATGCGATTGAGATCGCTCAAAACAGCAATTTGTTGCAACCATGTCACATTTCAATTCAAACTAACTCGAGTAAGCGCCAATGAATCAGATATATTGACCATATCTAAGCAAGTTTCATGAAATCTGGTCGTATTGAGCGGCTAGGATAGCAAAATTATCGGAAAAAAATTATTTCCCCTATTTTTTGTGCACCTCCTTAATTTTTCTATGCTAAAAAATTTGTGATCAAATCTACTAATTAGGAATAATTCAATTATTCAGAATTATTCGATCTATCTTGGTTTAAAAAAGACGCTTTTGAGCCTGCAAATTTTTTCATTCATAGATGTCATGGTTAGCAATGATGGCTTGAGAGATTGCGCTTAGGACGATTATAAGCAATTTTTAAATAACTTGGTCAAATTTGTTTACCGATTTGTTTAATTAGTTTAATTATTGTTAATCTCGTTCATCAAATATCATGGTAAGTGCATACGGCTTAACAAAAGAATTTGCTTCACTCTTAACTCGTTATTTTATCTTGACAGGCTCGGCGTTATGATACCAGGACTACTATTTTCTCACCTGAAGGTAAGGTTGTCATAAGTTGCTGCATCATGTCGGTCTTTGGTTGATTTATAATTTTTTATATTTTAGGGAGGCTTTACCAAGTCGAGTACGCTATGGAGGCCATTGGTCATGCAGGTACTTGTCTTGGAATTTTGGCTTCGGATGGTATAGTTTTAGCAGCGGAAAGGCGAAATACTAACAAATTGTTAGATGAAGCATTCTCAGCTGAGAAAATTTACAAGCTTCATAAGTAAGTTGTTGCATTTCAGGGAATTCAATTTGGCAAAATTTATCATTTACTTTGCTTAGACTTTTACAAGTCTATCTGACTGGATTAGTGCTTAAAATTAAATTTCTCGAATTTTTCTCTATTCAGTGATATGGCCTGTAGTGTTGCCGGTATTACTTCGGATGCCAATGTTTTGACCAATGAGCTTCGCCAGATTGCTCAAAGGTATCTTCTCCAGTATGGCGAAAGTATACCGTGCGAACGATTAGTTAGCTGGCTTTGTGATATCAAACAAGCTTATACTCAATATGGTGGTAAAAGACCATTCGGTGTTTCCATTCTTTACATGGGTTGGGATCGTCATCATGGATTCCAGTTGTACCAGTCTGATCCTAGCGGTAATTATGGTGGTTGGAAAGCTACCTGCATTGGTAACAATAGTGCGGCTGCTGTTTCTATGTTGAAACAAGATTACAAAGAAGGACAAACGAATCTTGATCAAGCCTTAGCTCTCGCCGTAAAAGTGCTTAGCAAAACCTTAGATATGAATAAGCTTACTACTGATAAACGTGAGTATATTTTCTATCATTTTTTATTCAGCTGTCGATTCCTGATTTCTAATTAATCGTATTTCATTTTTAGTGGAAATTGCAACTTTGACCCGAGTGAACAACCAAACGAAAATACGTGTTCTACCTCATTCTGAAGTCGAAGAATTAATCAAAGCTTTCGAGGTAGAAGAAGCAGCTCGTATCAAGAAGGAGAAAGAAGAGAAGGAAAGAAAGCAACAGAAAGAAAAAGAAAAATCAAAGTGATGATTTTTTACTAATTTACTCTACCTAAAGTTTCTTATAACAATTAAAGATGAAGATTTGTTATAAATTAAAACTATATCATTTTTATGATTTCAATGGCTATTTAAATAACTGAATTTCTTTTTGGTACTCTCAGAAAGGTAATTACCTTAAAATTTAATTTTCTGTACAATTAGCAAAAAAATCCCGTTCATTTCTTTAACTAATCTTAATAACTACAACAAATGACACTTAAATAGCTCGTGAATAACTAGTTTCGAATGATTTTTTGTTTCTCAATTGTTACCATACCTCTTGATCGACCTTTCAACTTTGAATTATTGATCAAAACAATTGATACGTTTAGTTTTAAGAAATATAGAACTTTTGTACAAAAAACATTTTTGTTCAAAAATAGAGATATCATTTTAAGTGAAAAATTTAATTGCAAACCATTGATTCTAACAAAATTTTATTTCCATCAGAAATATGAAATGATTCATTTATTCCTTTTTCAGTTGAAATATATCAATTTATCAAATGTCAGATTTGCTAAAAATTTGGTGTAATTTTTCCATGGTTAAGTGTTGATCAGAAACTTTTATCAATTTATTTTCTTTCAAACAGATTCTTAAAAGTCAAAATGAAAGAAAGCAAACAGCATAAACTACTTGAGTAACACATAATCGTTTTGAGAATTATCAAATATGTCTAAATGTGGACAGAAAATTGCAGTTAATGCTTTTTGACTTACTGTTATCCTATAGAAAAGGCATAAAAGGCTAAGTTGTCGTTTTTTAAAAGTAAATGCAACTCGATATTTTTGATCAGTGAACATTTATTATAGGGAAAAATATTTTTGCAGATAGCTTCTCAAGAAAGGGAGAGGATATGACGAGGAAAAGAGGTGATATTAAAGATTTACTGTAAAAAGATTAACGTTGAATGGGACAAAAGCTGAACAAAGTTAAAAGGTTATAAACCTAATTGTTGTCTTGGGATGTTCCAAACAATCTTGTCTCTGTCATCTTTTTCATCATCATCATCATCTTCTTCTCCTTTCCAAAGGGAAGTAAATTTCCACACCATTGAAGGGTAAATCAAGCGATTTCATGTGGATAAAATATAGATGATGACAAGCAAATAAAAGAGGATAAAAATGATGGCGAAAGGTGCTCAGTGGCCATGGAAGTTAGAAGTGTGATGATGTTTCTTGAATGTTGTGACAAAATGTTTTAGCGATGGAAAAAATGAGCAACATAGGATCCAAAGATAAAGATGTTAATATGATTGTTTTGGATGATGAAGCTTGTCTATTCTTCCAAGATTGGTGTTAACTAGCTCGTAAGACCATAATGGATGGTAAAGTGTTCCTAAATACGCTTGTCTTCACATATTATCAATTCAATGTTAAACAACTTGATCTGATTTGTTTTTCATCTATTTCGTAAATGGTTTCCACCCTCCTCTCCTCCTTGTTATATCACTCGTAGTAACTCGTCTCCTTTCCTTCCATTTTGCCTGTTATGAGTTGAAACTCGACAACGATTAATTGCATGAAAGAGTAAATTAGTTGAGAATATGCTTCAGATGGTTCATTAGGTGCAAGGCCAGCTCGTTAATTGAACCCCATTACCAAAATTGTTTTGTCTTCCAGCATAAATGTTAGTATAACTAACAGATATCCAAATAATCATCAGCAACATTTTAATTGTGTCATCATTAATCATGACAAATAAGAAACCAAATTGTTGATTATCTTTAAGATGATTCAGTCTTTGGCTCGTTTTAGGTTAACGTTTCTCCCTTTTACCATCACCATCCTGTTCAGCATGAATTAATGTTCACATTAGAAGCGATCAAACGATGTTAACAGCCAACATATTAAAATAAACTGTAAGACAATTGAAAATCAGTTTAGAAGGTCACATAATTAATTAATCAATTTAAAGCCAATTTTAATGGTAAAATGATCAAATGAAATAAAAAAAGCAATTACAAGGAAACACAAAAAAATTAGCAAGTCAGCCAAAAACAAAGGAATCAATCTTTAGTGGCGCCCATTTTGAATCTTTTTTAATTAACCATCCATGCAACTTTTCATCACTTTTACAAAATAATCAACATTTATATTGATTAAATTAACAATCAATAAATGATAGAGAAGAAAATAGATGAAAAAGTTTCATTTATCAACAAATGCGTCAAAAGATTCCAAGTTACTTGGACAGAATTAAATTCAATTTGAAATCAATTTCAATTTCAGATCAATAATACAACTAAATTTGACCATAAATAAACATACTTAAGCAGTAAAAATGTCAATATATTAATGAAATTTGCATTCAACTGATTGACTGTTAATGATAATTGATGAACTAAACTAACAATCAATACGAGGCAAGATACTTTCAAGATGAGCATCATTCAGTTAATCAATCAGCTAATTGCTTGAGATAACAAAAAAAGAAGAAGCTATAAATATTAAGAATTAACTGACTCCATGAATCTTGATGAATCTAATTACTGGTTAATCTGATTCATTCATTAAAACTCGTTTTTTTATTGTTCATTTTTTTATTTCGCTGTTGAATTATCCTTTTGTCAACCCAATTCAACCCAACTCTTATAATAAACTTTTCACTCCTTTCATCAATCTTTTCATGAACAGATTTTTTTCATCCTTTTTTCAGGATGAACTCACTCTCTATAAACAATATGATAAAAAAAACACAGAAAATGAAAAAACTCAAGAAATTGTTATTCTTGAGTTTCTATTGTTTCCATTGATTCACTATTTGAAGAAACTTTGTTCAACTTGAGTTACTTTTTGTTCAATGCTAATGATCCTTTTTGTGTCCTCTCTTTAACCAATTAATTCAAATTAACTTTTAAATTAAGCTTATATTAATTCAATTGATTTTATTAAAAGCCTTCTAATTTACAAATTGATTGTTTGGAAAAGCTGAAAACGATGAAAACGTTAAATTTACCAAACTGTTTACTTTTCAATAAGAAACTTAATCAACTGTTTACCTCATAACTTCATGATAATCATCAACATTTCAATTGTTTCCAGCCTGAAGCAATGTTTACTTACCTTTAAATTGGATCAACTGATTATGATTAGATGAAAATGCAGAGTTGAATATAATCAAGGGATCTTAGGTTAAATTGTTGATTGAGATCAATTAGGTTTACTAGTTGATCAACTTCATGTATCTTTTGTATACACTTTTCATATTAATATTTGAAAGGCTTAATTGGATGATTTACCGAGTAAATATTGTTTGATTGTGTTAACCAAAAGTAAACTGTACTTGAAGAGCAAAGAAAAATTGATCAAATTTCCAACTACTATTAATATTATTACATTCAATTATTACATTCCACTGATATAAATGATAATAAGAATAATTTTTTAATATAAAAAGCAAATAATCACTTTAATCAATCGCTATTTACTCCAGCAAATTCAATTGCAACCAAAACAGCAAAACCTGAGCTTACAATTAAACCCAGAATTCAACTTTTTACTGATTGTTGCAATATTTGATTTTCAATAGCAGTTTATGAAAGTTGATTAAAGCTTTGGATCGAAGGCAAAACATTTGCTCAGATTAATTACTGAGAGGTTAAATCAATCAAAATTTTGGGAATTACTTCAAATTGTCAGTTTCGATGTTATAATCTAATTTAGTAATTTAAAACTTTAAACATTTACTTTGATCATTCATTTTTTGGATTTGAAAAAAAACTGGAAACCGTTTCTTGACACTTTTACTTAACAACCACTTAGAGATGATCAAAGAGCGTCTAAAAAAGATGATTTTGGTCCTTTTTTTGAAACATTTTGAATCGTTTAAAATGACAAAATAATGTTTAAATTGTTCCAAGTTTAAAGTTGAAAATAAGAGGAAAATGGAACCATTTTGGGCTTAAAAAATGTTATATTTTGCTGATTCTCTAGAAGCTCTGTCAACATGTTTTTAATGTTGTAGTTACCATTAAATATGACTAGATTATCTCGTTTTTCACCTTAAATTAGTCAAATCTTGTGTTCAACAAACAAATCATGAACATCATCATTGGTAACAATTAAGTTAAAGTGGAGCAATTTGTTGAAAGTCAACATTTAATAGCAACATTTGAGACTAATTGATTCGCATTTGGATGAAACTAGCAAAAAAATGGCCAAAAAATTCAGGCTTGTAATGAACAGCATGATATTTTAGTTAAATGAGTCATGAATAAATTTGCTTTTTTATCCACTTTTTTAATGGTTAACTCAATATTAAACTACCGTAGGAGGTTAGCCTTAATTATGTATTAATCTGGTAACAATAACGTTAACCAGTTAACCATTGGGCTTAAAATGAGTGTTTTTTTGCATCAAAACAAAAGGTCTTCTGGTTTTGATCTTGAGATTGGTTGCGTCTCAATTACAAGTACAATTAACGTATTTTTTGTTGGTTAAAGAAGGTTGGGGAGATCAAGTTAATACAATTGATTTAAGGTACTTCTTGGAGTCAATTGGATTGATCAAAGACTGAACATGGTTAAGTGCGTTACAATCAAATTTAGTTAAACTGATTAAGCAAAATGTGTGTTCAAATTTAAAGTGGATTAGGTTTATTGAGTGACAACATTTTAAAGGACAATCTTAATATGTTGTCTTTATCACTTTCAAGTGAATGATCATCAACAGCACTTTTCAACAATCATTCAAATGTTGAAATATTTTTGAAACATAGGAACAAAAAGTGGAAAGAAAAAGTTACTTTGAAAAATAAAATTGAAAAAACAACATTGTAAGACTCTTTAGATTGATGAGGCTGATGAAGATAAAGAGGAATGAGAATAAAGAAGATGCTGGTAATGATTAAGGATGAGGAGGAAAAAAATGAGGAGTAAAAGATGAGTAAAATGAATAGTTTTTGTACTTACCCAAGTTGCTGTTTTTTTTGCTGATGTTTTTTTAACCATTTAAGTAGTTTTACAAGATTTAAATTGGCGTTGAAAAATCAATTAGATTGTTAGGGTAAAAGTTAACAAAAGAGTTAAGTAATTTAAGTGTAAACTGAATCAGGAGAAATTAAATTTGCAAAATTAATCATTTACTTGACTCTAATCAAATGGCAACTTTGTTTACAGCTGATTGTTTTCACTTACATCTAGGGATTAATAATGGCACTAAAGACGATTGATAGCTTTTGTTTTTTTTGTGGTTCAACTCTTTGCTTCAACATCTTTTTTTTTCCCTTCAGAAGTTTCCATTTTTTTGCTTTCTTTTTAATTTTATTTGTTTTTGTACAAACAATCAACAACAATTATTTAATTAACCATTCATTAATCATAATTAATTCCGGGTGGCTCGAAATGGATCAACATGGATCAACATTAGAGTGGCAACAAAGTCAGCTTTAAGCCCTTCAGCTATAACGGAATCTTTTTGCTTGCAACTTACACTAATCATCAATTTAATTATCATCAAATATATACGTTTAATTATTATTAAATGACCATTCAATTAACAGCCTACCTAATCAATCAGTGGCTTCAATCAGTTGATCACAAATGACTTTAACAGGAGCTTTAGTGAGATGAGTAGTTTCACCTAACCTGATACTGTGTAAGTGAAGTTAACACTTGTCTTAGGCCTGACTATTGAAGCCATTGATGAGTGAATAAAAAAATAGTCTTTCAATGTAAATCTCTGGTGGGATTTGTTGGATATTGTTGGGTTAGATTGGATGAGATGATGATATGGGTGAGAGTGATGATAATGATGATGATAAATTGATTTTGTTTTACAATCAAATCAATGGAAGAAGCAAATAATTTAAAAAGAAACACCAATTTAGCTTATGGTTGTCATCAATCACCTAACTTATACTCAATGTTATTGGGAAAACACTTTGTCTTTGACAAGCTTAACATTTACAAGAGTCTCTTTCAAGGCAAATAATAAAAGTGAAGACAAACTTTGATTCTTGATAACTATTACAATCATCATCCTCATCTTGATCATCATATTATAATAATAATGATAGTAATAATAATAATATTAAAAGGGTAAAAGATGATAAAGGATAAAGAAGGATGTTGATGGTGTCTTGTTAGTAATTGACATTACTCTTCCCTAAATTGTTACAATCAATCTTTACTCGATTACTCTTTTTGTCTCTGTCTTGTTTCGCATTTCAATAATATTGATTTGCCTTGAAACTGAATATCTTTTAACATTAACATGCTTTTCTAATGGAAATTATCATCATTTTCAGATTTCTCTTCCATTCACCATTGCTTTTTGGGATAACAGCAAGATTAAATTATCTTCAGGATCACTTGTCATTCATTTAAACTGATTGTTTCATTGATCCAATTAATCAATTTACAATATCAATAACCATTAAGATTAACATTGCAACAAAATAAAACAAAGAAAAGCTGTAAAATGTTTTACATTTGATGAAATAATTTCAAACATATCAATCAATATGTAATGAAACGATCATTTGATTCATTTGAAACTGAAATTGCATGATAATTGAATGTTTCATTAGGAATGAAGTTTAAAAATTAATGTTAACATTGAGTTGAGATTGAACTTTAAACATTGTAACAAGACTGTTGTAAGGCTAGATGAAGATAAGAGTGAAAATGTTGAAGAGATTCTGAATGTTATCCTGAATGTTATCCTGATGCTGGGAGTGATTTTGTTGACTTATGATTGGATAAGATTGCTGTCTGTGGGAGGGAGGAAAGGTGGAGCTGGAACTGTACTATAATTTGATTAAAATGTATTGAGATTGAACTATAATAAAAAAGGTTATCCTTGATTCAGTTGTAATCATTTGTATTCAATCAGTTCTCAATGAAACATGTTATCATGGTAAATAATGTCAACAAGACGAAACCAGAAGCAAAAGTGCAAAAAAAGTGTTCAATAAAATAGAGTAAAAATGAAAATCCAAATAAATGTTGAACTTTTATCCGTTTAACAATTAATGCAAGATAATTTAGTTTAACATTTTGTTCAATTATTATTGTTATTTAACCAAATGGAGCAATTAACTGAATTTGTTAATAAATCAATGACTTGTGAACGTTTATCTCAATTGACACCAACAACGACTTCAGCTCAACCATTGACTTCCCTCAGCAATTCATGTTTTACCTCATTAACATCCTTTCCTGTTAACTTAAACTCATCAACAAATGGCTTGTCCAATGGATTAACCAATGGATTAACTAGTGGGTTAACCGGTGGGTTGACCAATGGATTATCAAATGGACTATCAAATGGAGTTGGTTTATCAGCTGCAACAGCAGCAGCAGCAGCGGCAGCAGCAGCGGCTGGCCTTCACTTTCCCACTCTTAATCCATTCATCAAGTCAAGCTCAACTCTCAACCCATTCAACCTGTTCAATCCTGCCTTTCATCGGACATCATTGCCCTCATCAACAACAACCACAACCACAACTACAACAACCTTAACTAAATTCAATCGACCACCGGGTCTACCAAGTCCACCTCCGTCTCCACTTTCATTTAAAGATAATTCAATTCGATTAACTGTCAATCCAACTCCCAATCATCTATATCATCATGTTGAACGTCCTGAAACATCAACCTCAATTGAAACGGACAATGAAGACAATAATAGTAAAGATTCAAGAGGTGAGAGTCAATTGTAATTTTCATTTTGAAAATAATTTGCTTTTCATTTTTTCATTTTAAAGGATCTTGTTTATCACCTGGAAGTTACTCTGCAAGTAAAACAAATACTGATATTGATATTGATGATAATGGTGAAAGTGAAACTCCTGGTGAGTCTTGATGAACAATTTGTAAATTCAGTTAATTGTTTAATCTATTTGTCTGTTCAGGTTTGGATAAAGATGTGATGGTTAAAGTAAATGGTAAAACTAGTAAAAGTGCAAGTAGGAATGCAAGTGATGAGGATGAAGACGAGTCAAACGAGTCCAACACTGGAGTTAACTCTTTTGCTTCGACTCTTCAATTAACTTGTAGACAATCGCAACAATCAAACAATCAACATCAAGGTAAAGTAAAGCAACGTCGATCACGGACCAATTTCACTTTGGACCAGTTAAATGAACTAGAAAGGCTTTTCGATGAAACTCATTATCCTGATGCTTTCATGAGAGAGGAACTATCTCAACGACTTGGACTTTCAGAGGCTCGAGTTCAGGTAATTATCAATCTAAACCAACAATAGAAGATGAAAGCAAACAAAACCACAATCAAATCACTGGTCAATGTTTCCATTAATTTAATAACAAGACAGTTATGATAGGCTTCCATTACAGGCAAATTAGCTTGTCAAAATGAATCAATTTAAGATGAAAACTAAATCATTTTGTCATATAAAATTATCTTTCATCCAGTTTTACAGTTAACTTGTCTTTAAGTTAATTTAATGAATCCATTAATGAAAATGAAGTGTTGATGCGTTTTTGTTCCGATCATAATTAATATTCTTAACCAGATTCTTTTCCTTAATGAAATTATCATCTGATTAGATATTCAAAGGTTGCTCAGGGAATGGTTGAATTGAAGTCTAATGATGATGGGAATGATAATGATTAAAATGATTATCATGATAATGAAATGAAATTAACTATTAGCTTGATTTGGTAAGGTGAAAATGTTGATACAAAAGATGAATAAGATGAAGATGAAAGTTGATAAACTGTTAACAGTCTAACCAATTAACTTGATTGGTTGTGTGAAAGGGAAGCAAAGAAGTAGAAGGAAAAAGAAGACAAAATTAATAGATTTACTTGACAATTGTTATGTTAGTCAATTAAATTAACCATAATCCGTTCAGTTAATCCGTTATCTTTTTTTCCCTGTCTTCACACATTTCGCGAAGTCCAGCAAAGGGTCATCTTTAATCATCTTCAAGTTGAAATGATATTTACAGGTTTGGGTAAAAATGGGTTGAAATGAAGTTGAAAATGGTTGAACAAATGAATGTTCACAATGAACGAGAAGACAATTATTAAGACTGATTATCTGATTGTCGCAAAATACCGCTAATTTGGTTAAGAGCAAGTTAATGTGAGCCAATTAGATCAATGAATACAATGTCTTATCATGATCAGAAGGAAACAATTTAACTGTTGTTCCCATTGATAATGATAATGGTCATGATTTTGTCTTCAACATCTTTTTAATCAGTTTAATGGACCACAGAGAATAATCTTCATCCCATCCTCATCCTCATCCTATTTTCATCTTTTTTTCATCTTTTCCTTCCTTTGCCACCATTACCACATTTTATACAAATCATCAAATCAAATGCTAGATTTATGTCTACACTCAACTGGGAGTTGTAATAGTAAAATAAAGTCTGACACAAAAAAAAAGGATATTTTACTGTTGCTTGAAGATGATCATAAACTCAAACAGGTTAACGTTTAACCTGGTTAATTGTTTACCATTATTATTAGTGTTCATTACTAGGCCTAAACATTGCTATGAATATTAGGCCAATGGTTTGCCTATTGAATAACCCTGTTAAGGTATAACTAGATTTGCCTTTGTTATTGTCTATTGATTAGGCGTTACTTGATTTACACTCTCCTAATCAATTAGATACTCATAATTAAATTAGACAATCCCAAGAAATTGTGTTATCCCAGCAAATTTCAATACTCAATCCTGAATTACATTAATGATTACCATTAATGTTTTCACTCAACTGCTGTAGTTGTTGTTGATTTTTTGTGCTGCTGCTGCTTTCAATGTTAACTCTCAGCCTTAGGGTTGAGATGAAATTGTTTATATGTTAGAGGATAAATCAAATGTTGATGCTAATGATATCAACATTGCAATCATTTTGATAGTTGAAAACAAACAAACAAACAAATTGAAGTAATCAATTTGAATCAATATTCACAGACTGCTTTCCAATCACAATGTAAATCCATCTTTACCTTCATCAACATATCTGTGTATTCATTGTTTTTCCTCCCATCATTAGATTTGATCAAATATTTGTAAGACATGATCAGTCAACAACAATAAACAATACGAGAAACAATCTTACATAAATCATTGCCGTAAGGTTTAATTTGATTCATCAATTGAACAAAATTCCTAACCAGTGAGCAACTTTGTAATTCATAACATCATCTTTCAAGCTTCAACTTTTTACTTTCCCTAACATTTTCAATCAAATCATTGAACATTATCACTGATCTTTTTGTCTTCACTCGAAACAGGTTTGGTTCCAAAATAGACGAGCCAAATGTCGTAAACATGAAAGTCAAATGCAAAAAAGTAAGTCTTTTGTTTCCATGAAAAACAATTTTCTTTAAATCCTGAGATCAAAAGCATTTCATTTCACTTTAATTTCCCTGAGATTCACAGGAAAATCTCAATCAATCTCAAATCTCACTTTGAATAGTAAAATCTTTTTGAGTTGAAATGACAAAATTTTGATCATTTTTATCGATGACAAGGAAAAGATTCATGGAGTTAATCAAAGAGCTTATTATTCATATTACTATTTATCCATGTTTGAGTCTTAATCTGATCAATGTTTGCTTGTTTCATTTACAGCTGGCTTAATCATGTCTTCAACAAGCACCACAATTGAATCATCTCGAATAGCCCCTTACATAAACGTAAGCTCATCACCAACACCGCGACTCTCTGGTCAATCAACTCCAACACCCGAACGTTTTCCATCAATCATTCCCACTTCAGGTTAGATCTTTTTAATTGCTCTATTTATTGATTAATCTAATTTCTGTACTTTTATCTCCTTCCTTTCAGGAGTCTCATCACATTATTTACAATTTGCAACTGATCCAGCTTTAATTGCAGCCGCTCATCATTATACAGCCGCAGCAGCAGCTGCAGCAGCAGTCCAAGCCAATTCAGCAAACGGCTTCCTATTTTATCCTACTCATCCAGCTCATCCATTTAGTTTATCAGCACTTTTAGCTGCTGAAAGGTTAAACAATAAAAACTCATCGATAGCTGAACTCCGAATGAAGGCTCAAAAACACACAGCAGCTCTTGGATTATGAACTGAAATGCAATTTAGATAATCCAATGACCAACCTTTTACAATCAACAACAATCACAACAATTGACAATAATTACCACTAAAATGCAATCTCTTCATTACCTTTTCAATTATTGTTTTACTCAACAGCTTTGCCTTTGTTGCATATAAATACATTAACCTTTTACCTCTCAATTAATCAACTAAATTAATGTTATGATTAATAATGATCCAAGTTTTCAGTCTTTTTTTGTTCAAATCAATTGTAATTAGCAAGTAATCAAAGACAAAGCCAAAGCATAAAACAATCCAAACCTAGTCTCTTCAGTAGACACAAAACCAAAGAAATAAAATTACTTATGAAATTGAACAAAATTTGTTTCCTTCAAATTGATTATCTTGTCCACTTAAATATGTGTCTGAACACAATCAAATTAGATTACTAGAAGGAAAACAATCTGATTTCATTGAATTAACCAATTGATCAATAAACTTCAAGTGGAAGCACAAAATTTCAATAAAATGTTTCAAATTCAAAGCTATATTTTTAAATATAAATATCATAATGATTATGATAAAGTTGAAATATTGTTAAATTAAAATTTAAAAGGTTTTACTTGTCATTTTACGTGACTTTAATCATTACCATTAATGTGATTGTATGTTTAAAGTGATTCTTGATTTGATTGTTGATATTTTTGGCCTTTTTCTTCTCGTTCATCTCGATATCAAATTAAATAAAATGAAAAATTGTACACAAAAGTAAGTAACTTACCAATATATTTTATTATATATTGGATATAATGTTAAGGAGTAAACTAAGATTTATGGCTTATAATCAAGTTTATTTTTGTGTGTTTCAATCACGTACAATTGGTCAGTTTGTTGGCCTTTATTTTGCTTCCTTTTTTATTGTATTTCAACAATTTATTTGATTGTTATATTTTATTAAATATCAATCAAGAGTAAACCTCAAATGGATCAATCGATTGTTTCCTTCATTTCCAAGTATATAAACTAATAGAGAAGCTTGACCAGAAATTTTGCTTCATAACATATTAATTGGGTTTAAAACCCAATCTTTTGTTTTACAATTGTCTGAAGATTGATCAACTCATAACTGTTATTAACATGTGGTTTACATTCTGATTGATTACATTAATCAATTGATGAAATAATTAACACGTTGATCATGTCATTAGATTAATATTGAATCAATCAAAACATTGTTTTTTGTTGGATCAATCTAATGGAGTACAAAACTGACAACCATTAATCTTAATTTGGCAAAATCAGTTTCAATTAAAACGAATTCATTTCCAGTGAAAATCTGATCAGTAAATCTCTAGACTTGAAGATGCACTTCATACTTTACATATTGTAAATTGTATTGATTCTGGTTAATTGTATGAAAATGATTGTTGGACTGAAAAGATGAAACTTAATAACATAATCATGTTTCAGTTTACTTAACCTTTCAACTCAATAACGGTTCATCATTTCTGTGACATTAAAATGTCTAATCACAATGATGGTCGTTATTATCGCCATTATCATCATCGTCTTCGTCATTTTGTTTCTTGGTCAAATGTATTTCAATGGACTAAGTAGTTACATTGTAAGTGGTAAAATGATGCGTAAAATATCGTCTCTTATTGAAAGTTAATGTGATTGATGAGTTGATGGTTTTAAGGGACTTGAAAGAGTCGGATGATGAGGAGACAGAGAAGATGAATAAGGGAAGGAAGATGAAGAAAGAGATTGGGGAAGAGAGAGGAAAGAGAAGTGTTGTTGTGTAAAGAGTGTTTCCCTTTCAATGGTTTACAGCCTTTTCATTAAGCTTCCCATTGATAATAATATCATGATAATGTTTAATAATTATATTGAAATGAAAGCAAAAATAATGTAAAAAAGTTATAACGCTAATATAATGATAATTTGATATAAAAAAGGGTAGATAATGATGATTCTGTGTTGAACAATGCAAGAATGGTGAGTCAATAAAATGATTGAGGTTAATGGACTTTCACTGTAATAAATGTCACACAATTATTCTGGTGACAATTGACGTAAAGAGTATCAATATTTAATCAGATTAATTACATCTTATTGTTTGCTGGTAACAAATCAGGCTTTAATAAAAATCATTGTAAATTTAACGGCAGATAAAAAAAGTCTATTTACTGTCAATTTAAATGTTCATTGACTCTGCTTTGTAAGATTTAATATCAAGATTATTCTGGGTTTATATTTAGATTATTTTGTTATTCAAATTATCGACTTCTTTAATTTAGGTTTTAATCATGACAAAGCAATCAATTTCATTTGGAAATCCAGCAATTGTGAAAGCTTCCGCTAATATTAACCAGAGTGTTGATTTAAAATCGGTGTCAGTCGACCAGGTTTAGGTCCAGCAATTGGAATCAGGAAATGATTTTTGTCCGAGTTTGCTTCTGTTTTGTTTTAGCGTTGAAAATCAGCGAATCACTTGTAAATCAATTAGAATAGTAAAAAATATAAATTATTTCCAGGTAAAAATTGATAAAGTCAAGTCACTCTGACTTTTAACTTGTTGATTCCTCCCCTTAACATTTTGCCTGTCTTTTAATATACATGAATTCAATTAACATAACACCAAATGATCAATATTTGTAACAATTAAATCATTTCGGTTATTTAGACCATCCAATAGAACCATATAAATACTGTTCGGGAAGACAAACTCAATGATAACCATTAATGTATTGTTGAGTGTGAATCAGTCATCATCATCGAAAGTATCACTTGGACAAATGAAAATGTACTTATTCGTGAATGTTTTGATCTTTATCTTTGCCTTCTCTGTGGTTAAATCAGATAATCACTTGGATTCCAATAATTTATCATCTGAACCCAAAATAACGACAAATCTTGTACAAGATGCTTTTGAGACACTTCGTCGTCTAATCCAGGAATCAAGTAGTCGGCAGGAAAATGATTCAAATAAGGATAAAACTCAACTTCAAGCTCAACATTATTCACCTCTTCAACGTATGGATCCATTGTTCTTGCCAAGATCGGTTCTCCATGAAAGCCGGGATCCTGCAGCTCCAGTCTTGGGTAAATTGGTTGTTAAACTTGACAATCTGCAATTCACTGGTTTATCAAACTTCAAGGTGGAACAAGTTGCCGATTCTGGTCCATGCATGACTTTCCAACATACTATTCCTAAACTGGAAGCTTGTGCTGATTATAACCTTGAATACCACTTGTTCAATGAGATTCCTTTGAAGTTATCTGAAGGTCAGTTGAAGGCAACACTTCCAAAAGCCAGGGTTAATGGTGGTTTCTTGTCCTTCACTGGACCCATGAATGACTGGTCAACTAAATCTAAATTCAATGTTACCACGACAGTTGATGATGATATATCATTGGCCATTTATCCTAAACACAGTATTTCCGAGCGTTTTGTGCTCCAAAAGAGCATGGATAAACTACAAGCAGCTGTTAAGTCAAGTTTACCACAAATCTCAGAGATGCTTAGAAGTGCTTACATTCGAGTTATTGAGATGAAAATAATAAAGTGAGCTTTAACAATCCAATTGAAACGTTTCCATGTTAAACAGTTACATCGAAATTCTTTGTATGGTTCACTGTACATAAAATGAAATGTTCCAATTTACAAATTTGCGTTATTTGTTATTTAACTTTTTTATTCTTTGACAAAAGCTTCTCTAATTCAACATCATTTTTCAACAATTCCGGATCAATTTCATAATCGTCTGAAGAGTACTTTCGATCCTTTTCGCTAGAATCATCAGGTGAATGTGTAGATACAAATTTAGGGTTTTTATCCATAATGAGCTTTAAATTATTGCCCTTCTGTTTTTTATGCAAAATCCGAACCTCTTCAACTAGTTTTTCACTGATTTTTTTGAAAAAAGTATCCATTGATGTGCCAGTTTGTCCTTGCACAATTAAATGCACTTCTTTGTTTTTTGTAATCCAGTTATTAATTGAATCCATTTTAACTTTGAGATCAGCTGAAGCAATTGATGTTTCAAACGTTATTCTTTTAATTTCTTTGGGTCTTCGTGGTTCTGTACTAGTTTTTTCTGGCTCTTGTTTGTCATTTAGGTCTTCGTCCTTTTCATCACCAAAAATAACCGATTCTTCATGCCGCGGCTTCAATTGAAATTCAGGAAATTTGGGTTTCCCTAGAATTTCCATAGGCACTAAAGTGAAACCATTCTTTTTAGCAATATTTTCAGCTTCTTGTTTAGATTTGGTTCCGATAACCTGACCAGACGAATCATATAAACGAATGAGCTCGGAATTGCTTGCTTTTCCAGCTCGTTTGGTTGATAAAAGAGCTTTAGAGACTTGAAGACATCTCATTTGATTTTGAGCAACTTTTAGTGTTTCATTTAAAATGGTACAACGGTAAGCTGCTTTCATAAAATTCATGATTAATGTCAATTCGGCAAGCTAATTCAAAAAAAATAAAGAGAAATGTGAAAAAAGGTAAATTGCGTAGTTAATGCTAAATAGAGTTTTTACCTTTGATTAATATATACAGATAGCAGTGGAATATATATAAAATTACAAAATTACTCTGAGAGGGTCACCAAACTTTTAAACACTTTAATGCATAGCAAATTTAAAATCATAATTAATTAATGGTGAAGTCATTGATTTTAACTTTTGTTATTCAAAACAAGGACAAAATCATGTGTTTCTGTTTAGATTTTGAGGTTTGCGTTTATAGATGGGAGGCGGTTTATTTGATTTTACCTTCCAGTTTACATTGAGATTTTTGAGAGTTGTTTCAAGTTAGTTAATTTATTATTACCAATATGGATTAAATGATTTCATAATAAAACTTCTTTATGGTTTGGACATTGGATGTAAAGGACAATTAACTTCCCGCTAATATCTAAAAGGCACTTTGAAAACAGGAATCTCATGTTCAATTCTTAATGGAATAATTTGAAGTGATTGTTAAGGCAAAGTATTTAATTAATAAAAGACTAATCAAGACCAGCATTCATACTGAATCTTTCTACACGCTTCAAGTTTACATACAAGCTTTTCTGCTTCATCTTCGCCTATTTGATTGTTGCAATCGATAATTATTTTCTTGACACAGTTTCTCACATCATCAGGCATTTGATTAGAGCTTCCAGCGATAAGAAGAGTTGAACCTCTTTTAATTATAAAATCCTCAATAATTGAACGATTCGCTAGCATTTCATCTTGAACATACCATTTCTTTGCAGGGTTATCACGAGAGAATGCGGTGAAAACCTGGAGATGAGATTTCGATTGATATTCTTCCCATTCATCTTTGAAATAATAGTCTGCGTTACTAAATCTACAGCCGAAGAAAAGGACATTGTCAGGTATTTTATCCATGAACCGTTCTTGGATGATCGATCGAAAAGGAGCAACTCCTGTTCCTGGACCAACCATTATCAGCGGGTCGCTATGAGGTATTTTGAATTCTCCACGTCTAATCGTAAGATTAATAGAGTCACCTTTAACAAGCTGAGCCAAATAGTTTGAACAGAGACCAGTTCTTGGTGATCGAAGCTTTGTCTTAAATTTAACAACAGCCACCAACAGATGAATTTCATTGGGATACATTTTCATAGAAGATGCTATGGAAAAGGCTCGAGGTCGAATTCCTGGTATTAGATCAAAAAGATAATTTAAAGGAATCTTTGAAGCTGTATGAGGAAAATCTTGTAAAACCTCTAAAATATTTCGCTTGGGTTTATGACAGTAGTTATAAAGTTCTTGTTGGCCTTCAGTAGAAGCGAATTCGCGTAGTTTTTCTCTCTCCAAATCATCTTCACTGAATCTCCAGAGTAAATCGAAAAAAGATCGCTTTGGAACTGAATGTATATCTAACTGCTGCGTTACAAGTGTATGTACATCTAAAAATTCTGGAAGATTATTGTGACCATATTCGGTAAAATTCATGTCTAATTGTCTACAGCGAAATTTCATTGAAGGATTCAAATTTAAAAGACTACAAAAAATTGCAACTTCATCGGGAAAATTTTTTGGATGAATTAAAACCACATCGCCAGGCTGGTAAATTAGATCTGGTTCATTATTGATGCAAATTTTAATGAATCTCACTTCTTGAAAATGACTGCTTGGCGTAACTCGTTCATTACAGATGATTGAACCTGAGTTTACTTGGGGTTTTGGTATATCAGGCTTGTACTCATTGCAACCCAATACATCAACTTGATAGCTAGGTTCAAAAATGATATCATCTGGGTTCAATCCTTTTGTCAACGGCACCAATTGTTTTACTTTATCCCAAAACTCTTGTAACCATGGCGTGACAGAAGCCCATAATCCTAAATCATGTTGATCATCACCCAAAGCTAAATCAAGGATCATCTTGGCTCCAAGTGATTGCAATCTCTTGAACAGTTTTTTGCCAACAACATTATATAACATGTATGATGAGTCTCCTAAACCAATAACAGCAGCATTCAAATGGCTTAAGCAATCATTAGGTAGATTTTTTCTCATAATTAGAGTCCAAAATCGTTTTAAAGGCGTAGGTTCATTGCCTTGTCCTGTGGTCGAGCAAATAAATAATACCAATGTTTCGTCAATTAATTGGCTCATCTGATAATCACTGATTGACATTGCTTTAGACTGTAATCCTAGCTTTTTAGCTGCACGATAAACCATTCTAGCAACATCTTCACTATTGCCTGTTTCACCGGCATATAAAATCAACAATTGATTCACCATTTTAACAAATCACCAAGAAATTGTTAACTTTAATTATTTGAAACTTGTAATAATAGCATTACTTTGCAACATAAACAGCTTGAAGGAAAATGTAAACATGTGGTGACTGATGTAATTGTAAGGGGTTGACACGTAATCTCATTCTTTCCCCCTTAATCATTTTTTAATCATCAATCATTATCATTTTATCATTCACATACTTCTCATTGGTCAAATCTTTACTAACAAGTTTTCTTATCACAATCAAACAAATGTATATAAACTGTTTCCTTTTCCTTACTCAGGGTCAGTTGTCACTTGTAATAAGTCAGTCATCATTAAGCTGCTCTTTAGTCATTAAGACTCATCCGTGTTCTATTCTAAAGTTGTATCCTTAATCAGAAATCTTTAAGACTTCTGCTTCCTTTTCCTTCTGTCCTCAATTTAAATTGATTCATTTAATATTCAGTTCATTGAATTCAATAATTAATACTTACTCTGTGATACTAATTCAAACCTTTAATTATAAATAAAAGTGCTCTCTCTAGTTAAATATCTTTGTGTGAGATTCCATTGTTAAATTGTTGTTAGGCTTTGTGTGCCTTTTACTCATCCCTTAATCACGATCTCGGTACACATTCAATGTTTCATTGATTGTAGTCTTGTCATAGACCTTATCCCTAACAACTGGTGGAGATCCCTCGTTTTTATTGTGTAAATCAACATTTTGTGGAATCTCCAAAAAGAACTCTGCTGCTGCTCATAGAATCCATCATCAAAAGACTTTGAGTCTTTTGCAACGTGTTACTGTATTTCCGCATCCTGCTCACTTCAACAAAAAACCTAAGGTTTTTTGAGTCTTACATCAGCAAAACTGTCTTCAGAAACATCTACAGATCCTTCTTCAGAAACATTAATCCACTTCAGTCAATCAACTATAAATTCATCACCTCAATCAACTGTAAATTCATCGTCTCGATCATCATCGGAAAGTAATTCCTCGGATAAATTTGATTCAGTTATGGGTGATAAAATTACATTCGCTGATTTCATCGCAGAAGATGCGAACAAGATAACGTATTGTAAAGCTGTTGGTCTGGTTTGGGAAGAAAAAATGAAAACCTGTAAAGGAGTGTTGGTACGACAAATTAAAGAAGCTATGATCACAATGGCGATATATCATGGAATCATCTGTGCAAATGATAAACTTGATTTCAACCAAGAATATATCCCTGAACTTGAAGAATGTCCTGAAATCCTTAAAGCCTTCCGAATGAATGGTTTATCCGAACCCAGTATAAGAAAGCTGATTTTAGGAGAACATCTTAACAAGGTATTGTCTAGATCTGATCTTAAAGCGAAGTCATTCACTAGTGATCAAATTAAAATTTATGAAAAAGTAGCTCGTCCTACAACCTCCTCAAGCCCAAACCCAATTCCTGAAGTATCTTTTGAAAATGATGAGAATTGTTTTTCTGATACTGAAAGATCTGAAGTAGTACTAGAAAGAAATAGAAGATTATCTAAAACCGGTAGAGTCGGTAGAGAAAGTTATTCTAACGTTGAATTGGATCGAGTTATTCACGATTTCAATCCAAAAAGAGAAGGTTTATCTAGATGGTTAAAATATTTGAAAATTAGAATCAAAGCTTACAGTCTAACTAATTATCAATCTTGTCAGCTACTTTCATGTAAATTAACTCCTGAACTTACAGATGAAGTTTATAGACATTTTGACACAGATAATCTAGCTAAACTCAACAGCAGTGAAATAATTTCTTATTTAAAAGAGCATCATGTAGGTCATACAGAGGTCATTAATGCATCTATTTCTATCTTTAACAAGAAGTATGAAAGAGGAATGGATGTGCGTGAACATTGTAATACAATTAGAGACGCAGTAAATTTGAGAGCACCTTCTACTACGGAAGAAGCCTTAGTCATCATTATAATCTTTTCTTTTCCTGATGACATAAAAGAACATTTGCGAACTAACACAGAAATTCGAACTGTTGATCAGTTAACCGCTATTGTAACAACTTACATTGATAATCATCCTAAAGTGAATCATAATACGAATCATAAACGACATAGTGACAACATAAATGTACGAAATGAATCAGGTAGACAAAATCAACCTAACAATTTCAGAAATAATAACAGAAGTTTTCAGAATAATAATCAACAAAGCACAAGCAATCAAAGCAATCAAAGAAATCACATCAAACCACAAAGTCGTTATAATGGTTCACGCAACTCTAGTTCCAGCAATTACGGTAACAACTATAATAGGAACAGCAACTATAACAACTATCAAAGACAATCAAGAAGTCCTTATCAAAATCGCTCAAGACCAAGTACAAGTTTCAACAATAGCAACAACAACGAATCAAGAGAACAATGTGTTTATTGCCTATCATATAGTCACAAAGCAAAAGATTGCAATTATCATCAAAGTATTCAAAAGTCTAGAAAAGCAGCGTTTGGCACTTTAGAAGAAAGTTCATCAACTGAAAATCTAGCAACTGAATCAAGACAAGTATTGATGGCAAACAGTGATCGCAATGTAACATGCGATGACGATAGCTTTCCTGAGATGAAATTGGATCTCAGGATTGAGAATCGTAATCATGCTCCAATTTCATGTCTAGTTGATACCGGAGCAGAATCAACTTTGATTCAAACTGATTTAGCAGATGAATTGGGATTGATGATTTATCCCTCAAATCATTCATTTAGTGGTCTTGGTGGCGCATCTAAATCGATTAAAGCAGATGGAATAACTCAAATTTTCATTCGAGTCAATCCTCGACATGATCAATTTGCCATGTTGGCATATGTGTTTCCTCAACTTCCTTATAGAATGATTCTTGGAAGAAATTTCATATTTTTAACTGATATGCAGATTGCAGCTAGAAAGAATAAAAGATTTCAAATTTTAAGATGTGGCGAACCGATGCAAGTTTCAGCCAGAATCCCTGGAATTGCAACATGGAAATATTTGTTTGAAGACTATTTTCCGCAATTCATCAAAACTTCAAAGAAAGAACCTCAAAGACGAATTGTGTTGGAGTCAAAATTGCTGTGACCATCAGAGACCTAAGGTCTCTACAGGGTCTTTCACCGATACTGACTCAGAAAATTCATCAACTTCAAAGAAAGCATACTATTTCATCAAAGAAACAAGCCGGCAGTGTTTTACGGGTTGTTAAAGAAGATGAAAAGCATGATCAAGAATTAAAGAAAAGAAGACTTGACAAACGTGCAGATGAGTTTCCTCAAGAAATCAAAGATCTAAATCAAACCTTATCTAAAGGAATTTCAAGTGATTTATCAAAAGAAGAAAAGATGCAAATGAAAACTTTTCTTAATGATTTCAAAGACTGTTTTGCAGTTCATAAATACGACCCCCCGTCGTATCCCTGCTGATAAAGTAAACATCAAGATCGACATAGGTCTAAACCCAATACCAAGATGTAATCCATATCGTCTAGGGCCGAAAAAGAGACAAATAATGGACGCTAAGCTGAAAGAACTGCTCGAACACGGTATCATCGAGCGAAGCAATTCACCTGGCGGTTCACCTGCATTCTTAGTGCCAAAGCCTAATGGTAGCTTTAGATTGGTTACGAGTTTTCAAGAACTAAATGCTATTTGCAAAACCAGATCTTACCCTATGCCTAACGTTGATGATTTTATCCAAGCACTTGTTGGTTACAATTATTTCATGACACTCGATTTGACTCAAGGTTTTCACCAAATCGAGCTTGCTCCTGTTGAACGCGAAAAAGTCGCTTTTGTTACGGAATCTGGCAAGTATCAATACGTCAGATTGCCTATGGGACTTGCTGATAGTCCTGCCTATTTTCAACAATTTGTTAATCGCGTATTTGGCGATCAATTATATAAAAGATGTCTAGCCTACATCGATGATGTTATCATATTTGGAAAAACATTTGAAGATTTAATGATAAATGCTGCAGAAGTTTTCAAAAGAATAAGAGAATATGGGTTAAAGGTGCAACCCGATAAATGCAAATTTGGCCATAAAGAAGTAAAGTTTCTTGGTCACATCATTTCTGGTAAAACAGTCAAACCTGATCCAGCTAAAATTGAAAGGCTTAAAGCCTTTCAGCCTCCGAAAGATATCAAAGCTCTACAAAGTCAACTTGGACTATTTAATTATTTGGCAAAATTTATTCCAGACTATGCAAATCTAGCATCAGATCTGTTCGAGCTGTGTTCAAAGAAAAACAAATTCAAATGGACCGAAAGACATCAACAATCATGGAAAAAGATAAAAGAATCTCTAATTAAAAACTGCGAATTATCTCAATTTGATGAAAACAAAGAACACAAATTAGTCGTAGATGCATCTTCAATTGCCGTTGGTGGCATGTTATTACAATTAGAAGAAGGGGATTGGCGCCCTGTAAGTTTCTTTGGTCAGAAAATGGCTAAGCATCAATTCGGTTACACTATTACGGAAAAAGAATGTCTTGCAGTAATAGTTGGAGTTAAGAAATTTCAACACTATCTAACTAACAAAAAATTCACAATTGTTAGCGATCATCACGCTCTATGTGCTTTAAAGAAAATTGATTTTAAATGTACTCGTTTGCATCGATGGGCAAACCTTATTGCACAATTTGATTATAATATCGAATATTCTAAAGGTAGCGAGCATCCTGCCGACTGTTTTTCACGAAGTAATGAATGGCGACACAAACGCCAAGGAGAAATCAATGAGGAAGATTTCTACAAGTACTGTCATTTCGCATTCAGAGAAAAAATTAAATATGCAAGATTTGGTAAAATTATCATCTCAAAAGAAGAAGATGAAAACTGGTCTGATCAACCTGATATTCCTGTAAATTATGCTGATTCTGACGATATACAAGAATTAGATGAGGAACTAAAAACAAGAAATGTTTTCCTTGCAAAAAGATATATTATGGAAATGAAAGAAGTTGCACCTGCACCTGAAATCTACGACAACAAAGCATTCCATCGATTTATACTACTAGCATCAAACAAAGAATTATGCAAAGAAGAAACTACAATACGCAAAGAACAAGAAAAAGATTCATATTGCAACAGATGTCTCAAAGCAGTTAAAAAAGGCGAATTATCATCAAAGTTTACTATTAAATCTGAAATTTTATATCGAAGGAGAAAGAAAGGCAAACCTGCAATTGTGTTACCAATGTCAATGATTGACAAAGTGTTTGATCAATATCATAATGATCCTGTTGGAGGACATTATGGATATAAACCTACAATTAAAAGAATTAAAGAAATTTTCTGGTGGGCTAACATGGATGAGTTCATCAGAAGCAAAATTAATCGATGCGAAAAATGTTCAACTTATAAACACAAAACAACTAATGATAAAATTCAAAGAGCAATGCCTATTCCTGATAATCCATTTGAAAGAATGCAGATTGATGTTCAAGGGCCTTTCAGACCCTCAAAGAAAAGAAATCAGTATCTATTCATCGCAATCGATGTTTTCACAAAATTTATCTTCGCCCAAGCTTACCGAAAGCAACAAACTAAAGAATTAATTGATTTTCTTGATTATTTTATTCAAATAATTGGTGCACCTAAAATCATTCAGACCGATAATGGTCCCTGC